GGGGGGGGCTGCTCCCTTGCTCCGGGCTCGCTGGGCTCCGCTCTCCGCTCCCGATACCGATCGAACTGGCCACAATGGCGGCGCGCACTCGCTAGCCACCCCGCAGGCGCCGCCCACCGCCGCGCCGCCATTGGCTTGCGGCCGCTGCCTGTCAGGCGCCGCGCGCCGCAATTGGGCCCCCGCGGCGGGCGCTAGTGTTCGGCGCAGCCTCTGTGGTCCGTGCTGGCCGTCCGTCAACGGCCTCGCCCGCCCATTGGCGGACTGGCTCCGTTCCTTTCTCTCGCTCCTTTTCCCCTTCTTGACCCCGCCCCGTTGGAGAGCTCGAGGCTCGGAACGCCGGGAGCACGGCGCGGGGCCCTGATTGGCCCGAAACGCTGCTGGCTCCGCCTTCCTGGGACTGGCGCAGCCAGGAAGCGCGCTGCTCTGCGAGGAGACCACGTGGCCGAGGCGGCGTGTGCCAGGCTTGCTCGGGGCCCGTCGCCGGCAGGGCTTGTGCGGCGAGCCGAGCGGGAGAAGCCCTGCAGCTCTGTAGCCCGAGCCCAGTTGGCTGCTTGTGGGGCTGGGAATGCGGGCCATCGTTCTTTCCGCCCCGCGTCTCAGGCGGTCGCAAGGATCAAGAGTGCTAACTATCCCCGTACGGACGGAAAAAGTGCCCGGGGATTTCCAGGCGTGCCGCATACCGGATTTCGTAGCGCGTTTTCTCCGCTGAGCGCGCATAGTGTTGCACCCTAATTCGGCAAACTGCTCTTAATGTTGCTATTAGCGAGTGGTTGCTGGTCCTGCTGTTAAGGGTATGCCCTGTACTTGGGGATGTGCACTTGGAAGTACACTTCCCCTCTGAAGTGTATATGCTTTATGTGCACTTGTATATGCATTTATCTGTTGTGCTTAATTTCTGTTACGCCGCTTATTCGAATACAGTCCCAAGCTCGTTTACGCAGAAGAAAGCCCCAAAGGATTTCCAGTGCTTTGCGTTCCCGTAGACTCAATGGAAGACAGGATTTGTTTGTGGGAAAGCAAGGCGCACGTGGCAGGGCCACACTCCAAGCCTCTGTCCGGAATGATTTTCTGTTGCTGAGGGCTGAGCAGTGGGGCAGGATGTGTGTGGCTCCCCCGAATTTTCTCCGCTCCCTAGATTTTTAAACAATGAGTTTACAGATTTTATTTATATTCTACATTTCTAGCCAGGGCTTTTTCCCTCTTGAAAGGAACCCAAGGCTGCTTACATAATCTACCTTTCCATTTTATTTTCACAACCCTGTGAAGTAGTTGAACTTTGGGCCTGGCTGCTAAGCTGCCACCCCGAGAATGTAAACTCCTGTTTTACTTCTGTTGTTATACCAGTACTAGGGGGTAAGTGAATTTAAAGTGCAAACTTATACATGCTCCAGGTTTGTGTGTGTGTGCGCACGCTTAGTGAGGTTTGGCAAACTTTTTAACATGCACAGAAACATAGAAGCCGTTGTAAAGCATGGAATGGTTGTGTCAGGGAAAATATAAATGTTAGTATACATTTCATGACAGTCTGAAATGCCCCCCCCATACAACACCTTTTAGTCCCGGGTCTACGATTACCCAGCTGCACCATTGGCTGTGAGCCTACATCTTACCTGGAGGAATTGATGCTGATATGCAGAATTATGCTGGGAATGAATTCCTGGGGGCTACCCTTGCTCTGCCGCCACAGGGCTGGAACTGGCAGGCAGGTTAAAACAGCAGCTGGGCTCCTTAGATCAACCTTACCTCAAGGCTAGCAGCAAAACAATAGGCTTTTAGAAATCATAACTGTGAATGCATTATGTGTTACACACTACACTACATTTTACTCGGGTGTAAACACTGTTCATTGTAAATGTAAATTACATTGTAATTCATTGTAAATTACATGCAGCTAAGTATACCTGGGATTGCAAAGTCAAGCTGGAGCCGCACCACTGTAATATGGTTGGGATTTAGACTGTTTTACTTATTTCAAATATTTAGTCCTGTCTTTCTCCCAAGCGTATGCCCTTTCTATACTGCCCCTCAGCCAAAGCTCTCTGGGCGGTTTGCATAATCCATGCAAATAGATGATAAAATACAATAGAAATATAAAATCAGAAAAAAATAAAGTTTAAAACAGCTAAAAATGCATGAAAGCAGTCAACAACAAGGAATAATAATGTATTCAAGATAGCTGATGAAGTAAATGTAAACACTTCTGGTCCACTCTTGCTCTGTACTATTTTTCACTCTTCTTTCAGGGGGCTCAGAGATGGATCTCCCAGCCCTAGAAAGTAGGTTTCCCTGAGCCGCTGGGTCCAGAGCTGCCCAGTAAGTCCTGTGGCTGAACAGGGATGTGAACCTGAACCTGCTATAAGGACACGAAAACTCCTCCTAGACATCCCCTGAAGTTTTCAAGTTTTTTTTTAGTTTGCCTTTGTAACAATCCCATGAACACTATTTCCTGTTCATAGGCAGGGCAGTGGCAGCTGAGTCACTTTGCAGAGCATGTGGATTTGGGCAGTCACGAGTTAGTACATTACTGAAACAGACTTTGAATTAAGTCGGGGTGGGGAGTTGGCTCTGCCAACTGTGGCCAGTGGTCTGGTGTGATGGGAGTTCTCCATGTTGGGACTGCATGATTTAAATACTGACTTAAATCCAGCGCTGCCTCTTGGACCAGTGGGGGCTGCTTAGATTTTGTACACTCTGCCTAACACTGCTAATTCTTGTCTTCAGTCAAAGGACGAGCAAAGAGAAAAGCCAACCCCTTTGTAAATTCAGAGGCCGGGAGAAGGGCAGCAGCATAAGAAAAGGCATAGGATGCTTTTGACTTCCAGCTCTCTTTTTGTAGGTTTCCCATTGTTCAAAAAAAGTTGTTAAATCAGATGAAACCTCCGCCTGATCGAGCAAGGTTCTTGAAGGCCCATTAGGAAAACTCGAGAAGGACCTCAGACACTGAACTGAGGGCATTCACGGAAGCGGTGGTTACGAGGAAGGACTAAATTTCAGCAGTACTGGAGGAGATGGGAGGAGCTTGCTTCTGTCCCCACATAAATAGACATTCTTTTGCCCCCCACACACACGCTGGGGGTCTCATTCCGTACAATTCTTCAGGTCGTAGGTGAAACATGTAACCATGCACATTGGAAAAATCAAGGGGCACATCTGTACCTCATGCAGAGCAGAACTGCCTGGGGCATCAGCAGGCTACTTTGCCCAAGAATGGAGAGGCAGGTGGATTAGCTTCCTAATCTGGGTGTGATGCAACACAGCTGGGTGTCCTTTGGCAGGCTAGAAGCAGCTCATCTCATGTCCTTCTACAACATGGATCCCCAACCTTTTGGCCTTACACGCAGACATTTGGGGACTGGAGAAACCATCATGGGCACCTCTCCAAAATGTCTTAGGTAGACTGCTGCTTGGCTTCCACCTGTCACATCAATGGCTCTTAGGCTGCCTCTTAATCGGCAAAAGTTGTGTTTTGTGCCTCTTACGCAGTGCAACATCCCCTTAATAGTCTTCAGCAAACGGCTGGTGGTGCGGTGCAGCCAATGTTTCTTTCAAACATGCATTGGCTATGGCCAGTAGTTGTTGTTTTGGGGGAAGAAGTTAATTCATGGATAAATGTGGTCCTAGAATAGTCTCAAATATTCACTGATGTAGAGACTCTTGTTTACCTGCTTCATGGAAATTGCCAAATGGAATGTGAAATAGATTGCCTGCACCTTCCGACAGTGGAAATGCTGACACTGCAACTCGGGATCAATCTTCGCTTCCGGTGGACAGAAGCCTTTACAGTGTTTTCAGTACATGAATAGGTGGCGCACAGACACTGACTTCAAGTAGTTGGGCCACTTCTGTTGGAAACGACGTGCAGACGCCAGAAAGTGACGTGTCCCGTACACATCCATGTACGCATACTCAAAAGGGGGGGGTAAGAGGTGCCATCTCCCTGCCGGGACTTCGCCGCGGGTGCTCAGTAGGGAGCTGTTCTCCCACATGTCGGCACAGACCTCCACCCCAAAGCCAAAATTCAGGCAGGCGAGTTTCAATAGCCTGCAAGGGCACTGGCCATTTTCTCGGCCCTGCTCTGACTGGGACCGGCGAGTCCCAGCCGCCACTCGGAAGCCGCTGTTGTAGACTCGCCGCAATGTGCCCTTCCTGGCGTGGCTTACGGGAGAGTACCTTCAGAGCCGACCTGCAGCTTCTGAGAAGAAACGCTTCATTTCATGAGCCAGCCTACCAGCTTCCCTCTCCTACATCAGTGTCCGCTGGAACATCTATCTGCCTCAAGGAATGCAGACGACTGAAACAAGAAGAATAGATGGCACTTGGAAATGTAGTTGGCTTAGCTGCCTCTTGCTTGCACATGTCAAGTCAGCCACGGCTCATGGTTTTAAGTGTTCTGCTGGCTTTTGTGCTTTCAGTCCTTGTGGCTTATTGCTTAAGATGCAGTGTAAAGACATCTGCTGATGTCATCTGCTTAGCTGTTTCTGTTTTGTTAGCCATTTGAGACTACTAAAGAGAAATGCAGGCAGGAATATATTTAAAATCATTCTTGCTACACAAGGGAAAAATCACAAGAGTTGTCCTACTTTTGCTTTGCTCTATTCTTTTGGGGAGCCATTGACGAAACCCTGAAACACCCAACACTTGGACAAAATAGTTTATAGCGTTACCAAGGCTTTCTTACTGGCTTTTCGTTCCTTATTCTCCTGAGCTGGAAACAGGAGTCATCACATCTAAAGATAACATAAGGTTGTAAAATAGCACATATTTCTCCAGTTGAACTATCCAATGAGAAGGTGGCAACTAGCTGAAGGGAACTCTACAATTTGCAGAAGTAAAAGAAAACAACCTTGTAGTACCGACCCCAAAGAAGAATCCCTCACCCACAAGACGTCATGCTCAGTCGGTCTGCAGACAGAAAACAGACACAAAGGGAGAGGTGGCAGGAGTATCTTAAAAGGACGTCTATCTTAAAAGAAGGAATTGCCAGCCTGCTGGAATCCTGAACTGCAGCAATCCTGAACTGAACTTCTTCTTCATCTTATGGAAGAACTCTACGGGTCTCACAAGACAATAGCCCAGAGAAGCTTTCACATCCCTTTCTGTTTGGTGACTCGCTAGGGATCCAGTTGGAAGAACAGACACTTAAACAAAACCCTTTATTTACAAGGAGGAAAAATTCTGGAATGTGGGTGGAATGAGGCACCAGGGGAAGCAAAGATGAAGCGACTGGGAAATGGTGGTGATCCAAGATGAGATATTAACCTGGAATGAGGAAGTGGCAAAAATTAGACTTCTCTTTATCCAGAAACAGAGGATATCCTGCCCCAGCAATAAGGTGCATCATGGATGGATTCTCTACCCTGGTAACTACTCCAGAAATTAGCCCTGGGCCCTTCCAACCTTATAGCCAGGAGCTTTGTAGGAGTCAGTGCTTGCCAAAGCCTACGGACCGTCCATGAACTTGACTTAAAGAGGAATTCTACACCAACCCAAACGGCGGCATGGAAAGCCAGATCCTGTAAACTCCACAGGGGAGCACGGTTTTGGACTTTCTGCATGTTATTTCATTCATACAATTTGTCCAGCTTGGCACTGGAAGGCTCAAGGAGCTATAAGGCTGACGGAGGCCAATGCCTGACTGCTGGAAACCTCTCAGGTAGCAGCTCCACTGGCTCCTGCTTGGGAATGGGGGAGTTGCTTGGAATACACCTGGACGGCACCTGCCATGCGCTCTTAAGCCATGGCATCAGAGCAATATGGACTAGAAATGGGCTTCCGGGGCACCTGCTATGTCAACCAAGAGCCAGGACTTCTAGCATGCATTCTGCACTGGCACCTAGTTCTGTAAAAGCATCCCTCCCCTAGACCCCAACCATCGGCCTCCCTTTGCATATCTCTCCCCTCAAGAGCGGAATCCGCATACCAGGTGGTGGCTGCCACAACCACCACCAAACCCACATGGATAAAGGAGAGTACGTACCCAAGGGTGGCCTCCTCACATCTCGCCACACTGGGCGATCACCACTGGCAGCTTCGGTTTGTTGTTTGGACCGGTGGGCACGTTCTGCAAAAAGCACCATCCGCAAGAGAGCTGGGTTAGCATCAGTTCCCAGAAGGAACCGGCGCAGCCCTGCCCCCGTCCCTTCACTCTCACGCCTCTCCGGAAATGGTAACGGGGCCTTTGACGCCAGCCTCAGCCCTTTGGGTCTTCTGTGTGGTGCCCTGGCCACGCCTGCACGCGTGTGTGTAGCACAGACGCTCCTCCCGTTTTATGCGACTGTATCAAAGGCACTGCGGTCCAAGCCCTCAGCAAAGGCGGAAGGCGTCCTTGGTACAGAAGGCTGCCACCAGTTCAGCCTCGATCGCTCCGCTGCAGAGGAGGGCCTCGTGCTTCTCCCACCGCGCATCAATGCCATCAGTGGCCGGTTCTGGCTCTGTCTTTTGTCCCAGCTCGCAAGGACTGGAGTAACGCCAGCGTTCTGCCTATCTCGGTGAAGCATCGCTTCCCCCTTCCCCGTCTCCTCAAAACGCCAGCCCCAGGGCTGCACCTGCCACTTTTGTCATGGCACTTTTCGGTCTGAACACGCACAGCACTGCAGCCTTAGCTATAAAGATCAGAACGAACGTTGGAAATAATACGTGATCGGCTCTTTCAAAAAGAGCTGGCCCCTTGTGTCACATTTCAGGGGTTTTACAAGTTATAATTCCCAAGGATCATCGGAGCCTCCATGGTGTGAACTTTCTAGTTTTCAGCTGCCAGATGAAAATGCGTCACCAGCAATGTAAACGGGGTCCAGCAACACTGCAAAATCTGTGGCCAGAGGCCATGCCTGCTGGACACAACGGGGAGTTTTAACCCAGTAGCTGGAAGGCACGGAACTGATCGTTCGAGCGGGATAGTATGAAGGACACGTGACGTGGAGAGTCCCACACCAACTCTTCCAACCCTGGCCATGCTTCATGCTGCTACAGCAAGGACTAGAATGTCGCTTCAGAAAGCAAAGATTCTCAAGCAGCCAAGCTCCAGTTTGGATTATTAGCCTGGCTGCCCGGGCCTCTTCCAACAGCACCACCGTATGATTCCCCGATGCCTTTGAACTGAGCCCACCAAGGAAAATGACTGAAGCGCCTTCTGCTGAAATACTTACTTCAATTTTTCTCATGACAAGGAGTCCATCAATTATTTTACCTGCCAGATAAAAAGGACAGACAAGTACATGAGAAAAGGGGGCAGGGACAGTTTTGTGCCAACAGGTGTGCCCCTCCCCATTTTTTGACAAGGAACAAGGTACATGGAGCATGGAATGACAGTGACTGGGTTGGGTTGCATATTCAGGCAGCTTAAAGCCGTGAGAGAGACTCCCGCTCACTGCTACTTCCCTCCAAATCCTGTGCAAAATCAATTTTATTACTATTATCATTATTATTATTTTACAAAACACTTCATGTTGCTAGATGCTGTACACATTTTACAAAAGCAAAACCAACACCAAACCTGCTTGTGCCCAGAAACCAGGCAGTGCCTTATCAACTGTATCCAACAATTGATCCTGGCAGGAAATATAATTAGAAGAGTAATCAATAATCCTGACAGGACAGCTTCTGCAGTCTCGCCTTTCCTTAGGGTGTGTGAAACCTCTCTGTTAGTGCATGGGACAATGTGTGTAAGCGGCTGCTGGTAGAAAAGAATTCCAGGCTGGATCTCCCTTCTCCGTGGCCGGCATGGCAATAACCGTGGAGGGCTGGCTTCCAAGGCAGCCACTCACAGGACCATATAAGTAACTCTGCTATTTGGGGTAAATTATGACCCCATTTGCATGACATGGTGGTTTCTCATGGGTTAACCAACCTGCAATGAGTCATGGTATGTGCAGGCACTGTTTTGAATATGCAACTCCTAATGGAGGGGTTGGACTACGTTGGGTCAATCCATCCATCAAGGGTTATTTAGAGCTTGTATAACCCTGTTAGGATCTGGGGAACAAAAGGTTGTTTAATTACCCAGTACCCAGGTTTGCATGACATGCGCCCCCAGATGGGGCACGTAGGTTCAAAACAGGACGCGCACATCCCTGGCCTACAGCTTAAATAACCAGGCCGTGCTGTGTGAGGGGGCTTTCGACACCTCATGAAGGCACCCCTGCTTATGCACGTTTTCTCCAGCTTATGCCTGATAACTGACATCCAGACCACTTGGGGTCCAATTCTGGGCATGTCCGTGGCACATTTTGGCTGGGCAGGCTGTGAGTGGTAGGCCCTTTCTCCGTCCAGACATAAACAGGACCGAACCTTTAGAGATGCGATATCAAGCAGTGAGCAAGTATTAATTAATGCATCAATGCTGGAGGGAATGAAAGAGTCTAGTGGTCGGTGTGTGGCTGAAATACAGAAAGCGCACTCGTGCATGGGACTGTAAGAGCCACACAGGCGTTTTGTAGGGCCGGCATGGAGAGGCACTGACGCCGAGTTTCTCAAACAAGGCACGCTCCCCAAGCGGTCTTGCAAAAGCAGACGGTGCTGTCAGTCATCAGAAGGTGTGGGGGCAAGGCTGTTGTCTGAAAGAGACCGGGGGCAGCGGGGAGAAGAGCCCAAGACTCCTCGTCAGGTAGGTCTTGGCCCCGGCCAGGTTGCCGTCACTCACCGAACACCACGTGCTTCCCATCCAGCCAGTCACACTTGGAGCATGTGATGAAGAACTGGCATCCGTTGGTGCTCGGGCCGCTGTTTGCCTGGCGGAAGAGTCGCATGCAACATCAAGGGGGGAAGCGCAACTTTGCTTGGCAACAGTGCTCCCCCGTGCTCTGTTCTGGCTTGACGGGGGCGCAGGAGAGCCGCGTGGAATCCCCGGCCCCGCCTGAACCCACCCCCGGCCTGCTGCTTCAGCAGCCAAAGCGCTCTGGTCTGCACACAGAAGTGGAACTTATTTCATTGCCAAAGGGCTGACCGGCGAGCCAATTCCCCGTCTTGCAGGACGCTCAGCTGGCCGTGAGCAGTTTGCACCAGGCTCGGGGGGCGCCTCGACCTCGGGGACACCAGTCACCAGGCCTGCCACCTTTCCATCGTTCACCTGCCAATGCACAGGCCCCTCCAGCTCCAAGCACACCTGCAGCTCCTACCTGCTTGCCACAGAACTGAAGTGTGCGCTTGGCCTTGCGCATCTGTTTCTTTTCAGCCACCGGATTTGCTCATGAGAATCTGGACCGCAGGGGCCGGCGGGGGGGGGGGGCTTAAGCCTTCTCCCCTTTGCCACCATGCTGCTGAAGCACAGAACAGGTGATGCGCCTGCGCACAACACGCCCTGAAGCTGTTGGCTGGCACAGCAGGGGCAGGAGCAGCCCCCACCCCCAGGACAAGCAGCAAAGGGGGAGGATGGCCTGGAGCCTTCCAGGAACGCGGCTGTGAGCGGGGGGGCGGGCTCATGCCCCTTCGTGCTTTCCAGGTCCAGTGCACTGACTTCCATTCTACTTAAAATGATTTCTAGGCAGTCCTCAAGTGTGGAGACCAGGCAAGCCAGGTTCCCTAAACATCTGTCATTAATTTTAATTAAATCAATTTGATCAGTTTTCAATGCATGTTCCGTAAAAGGCTTCTGGTGTCTACACATACCCACTCCTCATGTTCAGGAGGATGTGCAGCTTGGCCGCTCACCCGTCACTGCTGGGTGCCTTCCAAACTCGCTCGTAGTAACAGAGAGGGCCTTGTCCATCCTGCCAGCTTCAACATCTCCTTGCTGGAAGCGCCACTGTCCAACGGCAATGTCTGGACACTCCCCCGCCCGCTGCACTTAAAACAGGGCCAGTGCAATGCAGAAGCAACCTGGCAGCGGCTGCAGAGGAGCCAGCCCCTTTGCCTTGCTACTGGAAACCTTACCCCCTCGCTCTGAACGTGCCCCAGGCATGGCGCAGAGGGCCCCGGGGCCTTGCACTGGGCGGCCCTCCCAGGCGGGTCTCGCTGGGGTGGCCCGGGTGCCTCCAAGCTGGCTCTGGGGCTTGCAGCTGGGCACCCGCAGAGCAGAGTCAGGCCAGGAGCCCAGACTCGCCCAGAAGCTGCTGCCCCCACACCTCCGCCTGGTCCGGCCCTGCCGCGGCCTGCATGGTACATTAACCCCGAAAATGCAGACTTCACCTGCCAGCACAGCTCCTCCGGAGGCCCCGACCCAAAGACACCAGCAGCCCAGCCCTGACCCTTCCCAGCCATTCACTCACCATGGACAGCAAGCCAGGAGCCGAGTGCTTCAGTTTGAAGTTCTCGTCTGCAAAGGGCCCCCGGTATATGCTGGCCACTCCAGTGCCGTCTCCCTGCGAAGGCAAGGGGAAGGTGCTCAGTTCCACCCGGAAGAATTCCCCCGGCAGGAGGCAAGCCTGCGTGCTCCGCACTCGCCTGGGAATAGGCCTTGCCGAGCACAGCAGGACTGGCTCCCAGGGAAACACGAGCGGGTCGTTCTGTTCTCTGGGATGGCAGAACGTTTGCCACCTTCGTGACGACAGAGGGACGAGACGGTGTCACCAAATCACTTGCCGCAACCTAGAAAGGTGCCCCGATCCGTGTCCTTCGCCTCATGTGTGCCTCCCATTTGCCCCCCCCGCCCCCCCCCCGAACTGAAGGAGGTTGCCAGAAAGGGTGAACTAGTTGAAGATGGAGATATCTTGGCGGGGACACCGCATCTTCCTGAAGAAGGCAGGCTGGTACTGCAGAAATCCCGTCCTTGCAAATTCTGAGGTAAAGTGACAAAACCTGGACTTTTGGGGCAGGCTTGCAAACTGGAATGCATTCTGGCTTTGCCTGCCTTTTGTACTTCCCAAACGCTTCAGCTCCTGACCCAAAAAAGGAAAATTTCAATACTTTTTAAATGTGTGCCCAATTTGAATATTCATACAGGCTATTTTTAAAAGTACATTTGTGTGTAATCAGAATAGAGTAAAATAGATTTATGGATGGATAAGTAACAGATACAGATTGGAAAGAGACCACTTCAAAAAATCCTCATTTAGGACAGAAGGGGAAAAATAGAAGGGGTGACGCATGTAAGATTATGTGGTTGTTTACTTCCCTTGTATTTTGGAAAAGGTGGCCAGTTTGCTTTTCAAATGTCAATGTTAAGGCAGACTGGCATCGCTGATAATCTGAATGTCAGAGAGGAATAACGCTACTTGCTGGAATGTTGGCCTAGTGTTTATTAATGCGTTTTGTTATTCCTTTTGTGATGGCTTCAGCGGCCCAAAAATCAGCTCCACTTGCTTGTTATAAGATTATGCATCCTGTGGAGAAAGTGAAGACAGAGGAATGGTTTTCCTCCCCCTCCTCCAACCAAGCCAGACCCATGACATCCAAGGAAGCGGACGGAATGTGAATGCAGTGTGGGCACGAGGCAGGACGCGGCTTCGCCGATGGGATCCCTTGCCTCGAAGTGTGGCGAGCTTTGAAGGGACCCGTCAAGGGACCCGGAAGGCAGCTCTGGCAAGCCAGCACCGCTAAGTGGAGCCCCCAGGTTCAGGGGCAGTCTTCCTTGGTATGCAGAGGGGACGCTGCTGGTGAGCTATCACCTGCAAGCCCAGCTTAGGGACTTGGGGGCTCCCTGGGGGCATCGACCTGGCCGCTGCTTGGAGCAGAGGTGCAACTGGAGGCCTCTATCCAAACCCAGCAGGGCCCGTCCTGCGTTCTCATCAGAAAGAACGGTAGAGCAGCTCCTCCCCTGTGTTCTTCCGAATGCCCAGCTGCCGCACTCCAGCAGCCTCCCCAGCCGGGTGCCCTCCGCTCTAGTGGCAAGACACCCCCATTGATGGTGATCTGGGAGAGCTGGCACAGGAGCTGCACTCCAAAAACAGCACCTCTTGAAGGTCCTCCTCCTCAAACGGGAGGGGGCACGGTCAGGAAAGGAGCCGCCCTGTTCAAACAGCATCCCCCAAGCAGCCGGTTTTCAAATTCTGTGCCAGGAAACGCTGCAGCTCCTGACCTAGATAGCTAATGGCCGACATGCTTCCTGGATAAGAATACACATGTGCACATGTGTGCGCAAAATTATGTATTACAAGCACAGTATTATATATTGGTATTACAAAAGGAAATTAAATTCTCTGCCTCTTTCTTTTAATATGAAGAAATAACATGCAGGAGAGTTTTTACTGTCCTTATGAGAGCACATGCCAACCACTTGCTGAACGTGCAGTTGGCGGCCAGAACTGTGGGGGAAGGGAGTTTATTCTGCATTTACATTCTGTGTGTTTGTGTGTGTTTATGCATGTGTGTCTTCCTGCAAGGGTAAAGCACTGCATCATAGCTGCCCTTTAAAGCTGCACAGGAAGCCTGGGTGGACTGAGGTCAGGGGTCTTCAAAATTGTTTCTCGGGAAGCGCGAGGTTTGTCCAGAAATTTAACGGCGGCTTCTTGATGTGGTGGATACAGAGGGAAGGGCTGTTTCCTGGGAAGGCCACTCAGACAATCGTGACTTGTGATGTGCTGTGCTCCAGGGAGTTCTTGCCGTTCTCCAATCGTGAGGCCAACAGGGCTGTGAGCCCTCAAATGTGCCTCGAATCTGCTGCAACATGCGGGATTCTTTGGGGGACAAGCAGACTTCCATTCTGCTTAAAATGATCTCTAGGCAGATCCACAGCCCTAGCCTAGCTGTGTGCAGAGGAGAGCCTGGAATGACTGCGTGGTTCAGTGGGAGGTGCGAGCCTAGCACCAGTCCTGGCCACAAGCGCAGCCGTGTTTTTTAATCTCAGCTGAAACATGAGCAGTATTTTTTGCATGCTTCTGGGACAATCGGTGGGCTGGCACGGCTTTATCACCCGCTCAAGGTGTGCCATTTCCCCTGGAGCACTTTTGTTTGCTCAGAAAGATGCAGGTGACCAGCTTCCACCCAAGCCATTTCCTGGAGCTCAAACAACCACAGGACCTCCTTGCAGCCTTCAAATGCATCTCATGTGGGCTGGCTGGCTGTGGGTTTGTCCCCGCAAAGGCATCAGCGCCTTCCCTCCCTCCTGCCCAAAGGTGCACCGGCTCACAAAGCCATGAGGCTCACATGAAATGGCAGCATGGCGCTTCCTGCCCCTGCAGCCCTTTATTCTAGGCAACTCTGAAGGCCCCAATTCGCCCTCTCTCTGACTGGGATATGAGAAGACCTGTATGTGTCCAATCATATGGGACAGAATGCAGAATTTTGTCTGAGGAAGCCATGCCTTTCTAAAAAGCAAGTTTCTAGCTCTGATGGGTTGAGAAGAGTCTGTAGGGAAAACCCAGGGAAAACCCAGAAACTGGAGGTGGGGAAGCACCATGCCTCTTCCTGGTAGATAGCAAAAACCAGAATAAATTATACAAAACAAGGCAGCAACAAGCTGAATGGTCTCTCCAGAGGGCAGAATTTGGATTGCCTACGCCTAGAAAATTAGCTTTTCAACGCTAACCCATAAACAAAAGCCTGGAAACAAGTTTGTGGGAGTGCAATTCTGAACTTTTAAGAGGCTAGAGGGCCAAGTGCTGCACTGTTCCTGTCCTGTTCCCAGTAACCCAAGAGGCAGTGGAAGCTGGTACTTCTCAGAAGGCAGGAGCTGAGCCAGGCTGCAAACCCCACCCACACCGACTGGCTCTGTAGCCCGCACCTTGCAGAGCACATGAATGGTTCCTGCCACACACTGCCGTTACCACAGAGACCTCTGACTCTACCGGAATTGTGGCAGTGTGGCTCACTGCTGCAACAGCAGCCCTGCGAGATGGGCAGAAACACGGAGTCCCTTCAAAATGGGTGAGCAAAATGGGGCACCCAAGGAGCTTTTTTGCCCCCAGGATGCTCCTCCGTGGGGCGCAGTGCAGGTCGCGCCATGCTAAAAGAGGGCAAAGTAGAGAGAGATGCCTGTTTGCTGCCAACGTTCAGCTGCAAACTAGGCCAAAGTGCTAAAGAATGCCAGAAAGGCTAAACTGCTAAATTAAAACTTTGCTGCTTCATAGTGGCCACAGGCGCCTTTTCATTTCATAAATTTTTAAAAAACTTTTTGGTACAATTTTCAGGGAGCAGCATGGGTTGGAGCTGTCCCAGGCCTACTTTAAAACAAGGAGAGGTTCCCAATCTTGGTATTTTTTGAGGAAACAAGCATTAAAATGATTTTTCTGGGCTGAACCCGATGGCCGCTAGCATCATGCTATGTCTACCACTTGGTTTTGCAAGAAGTAAACACACACACACACACACACACACACACACACACACACCCCTGAGTTACACAGAAGTCTTGATCAAGGCACGATCCTAGTCATCAATTAGAACTGATCGTAGGTGGCAATGCCCGTTTCTGTTGGTTGTTTTGCTTTTCAAATGGCACTGGGACAAACCCCTGTGAGACACGCATATGGGTCAACTGAAAGCCGCAAGAACCACCCATGGGAGACGGTGATTTCTCCTGGTTCATGAGCTTGAATTATTCACCCTGGTGGTGCCATGCCTCCCCCTTCCTTGAAATTCTTTCTTAAAACCCACGCTTTCCAAATGACTACCGGGCTTACCCTCCTAGTTCCTCAATCCCAGTTCTGAGAAATCTTAAGTTCATGTCAAGGCATTTTCCCATCTCCTTTCTACTCCACCCTCATTTGTCCCTCTTGCATTCCTCCATTTTTGCCCCACAAGATAGTTTGGACTAGAAGTTCGACAGGGCCTGAGATTTGCCAAGAGGCCTACATCATCATCATCATCATCATCATCATCATCATCATCATCATCATCATCAACATTTCTATGCTGCCCCTTGCCGAAGCCTCATAACATAAGACTGCAAGACATCTGCCAGTCACAGACAGTCACTCCTGCAGCCAAAACGGCGCCTTCCATGCAGGCCAGAGAGGCACCAGCAGGCATGGGACATTCCCAAGGTCTGGAAAAACCTTTATAGGGAAGAAGCTTAATGGGGAAGTGGGGGATAAACCCCCTGCCCAGAGGCCACAGAATCCTTCCTGCATGTTGGGCACGGTGGGAGCAGGAACAGGAGAGGCACGAAGAGAAGGGATGGAAAGACTCCTGGGCCACGGCTCTCCGCACTGCAACATTTCATGGCAGGACCCCTGGGCGATACGTACCCGCCGACCGGGGGAACTGTTTTGGATTTCCTTTAGCTGGTGTGATGCAGCTTTTCTAGAAGCAAGGGGCTGATCATTCTGGGCTGATCATTTATTTTAAACCAATATTTAGTTGTCTGCCTTGACTGATGCATCTGGTGTGTCACCTTGAGACATGCATCCTCAGGCAGCAATTTAGCCATACCTGGCAAAGCATTAAGGCACAATCCTAATAACCTTGAAACAGAAAAAAGTTTGCAGTTCCCGGCATTCCCCGGAGGGCACAGCTGGGAGTTTTTCCTGCCTCAACGGGCGTAAGACTGCACCCTTAATTGTCTATTTTCTGACGCTCGCACAAAACAACACAAAACTGGCTGTACTCTCCACGAGGGGCCTGCTGTTCTGGGAGGTGAGGCTGCACCCACTTGGCCATTTAGCCAAGCACAAATAGAACAATGTGGTGCAGAGAATTAGGAATGCGGATTCCAGGTGAGAGCACCGCTGCGCCCATCAGGCAGGTGCACAGCGAAGCAGAGCGAAAAAGAAACAAAAGATGCAGTACGTACATTTACAAAATCACCTCCTTGGATCATAAAGTCTTTTATAACCCTTAAAAAGAAGGGGGAAATGATATTATGAAACAGACATATAAAACAGTGACTCTTTAAGGGCAGTCTGAACAGCTGCCAGTCATTCAGCAGCCCGGCCGTCAGCCAACACAGCAATATTTCCATACTGGCAGGCCAAACCGTCACGAGCACTTCGAGAAGCTCACCAGTGGCACTTCCATGACATGAACCGGCTGCTCAGAAACTTACTTACGGGCCACATACTGTGCATGTTCAGTCCAAACAAACACAGCCCCTCCCCTGCGACTCCCAGCGCCCGCCCAGGCAGCGCAGCTTGCCGGAGATTACCGGGAGCTGCCAGACTCTTTCGTTGTCCCAACGTACACAGGACCACGTTTTAAGCCTCGTGTTCCACCTCAGTGGAGAATTATGCAGGAGCCCCTTTCATAGCCATCCTTAGAGCACAGGTTCACAATCAGTGTGCTGGGCATTAAGTTTGGGACGGACAAAAAAAGTGTTGTCGTTATTTTATGAATACCAAGAGGCATGTTTACAGAATCTGCTGCTGCGAGCATGGAAGATGATGGCCTTTGACTTTGGGACGGACAAAAAAAGTGTTGTCGTTATTTTATGAATACCAAGAGGCATGTTTACAGAATCTGCTGCTGCGAGCATGGAAGATGATGGCATCTTGACTTTGAGCAAGGGTAGGGAGAAGTTAGATCCCCAGCTGTGTCTTTGAACTCCCAGAAGGCATGGCCAATGATGAGGAATGCTCGGAGCTGGGGTTCAAACCATCCGGAGGCCTGCCTCCCGCCTGCTCCGAGCTTCAAATTCACAGGATGAATGCATGGAAGACAGCTCTGCCAACGACGAGCAGCGAGGGCGGCTGCATGGAGTAGCCCCCAGGTGCGGCTTTTAGGGCAGATAGCTCTGAATGACCACCGTTGGGGGGGGGGGCAGGATGAAAGAGGAGGGGCACATATAAGGCCCCCATCACTCTGCCCCCTAGGCCACACCGGCAGCCCAGAGGAGCGACCCTTGGCAAATGAAGGCCCACAGACCTAGAGCCCTCAGAGATGGCCGCCAGTGGGGAGTCACCCATGGCAGGAGGTGGGCTGCCATCTGGGCTGCCCCCCAGGGAGCTGACCAAGGCTCCATCCTCACAGGAGGAGGGAACTCCACTGCTGAAGCAGAGCCCGGGTGATTCCCCCCCGTCCCCCCCGAGCATCCTTGCCTCAAGAGGCAGCCTTTGAGGAGGGCCCCTTGAGCGGGAGACGCCCCTGGGGGAGGCTCTGGCAATATGCGCCTGCCGTGCCATTGCTGGCGCTGCTGGCAACAACCTCTCCCACCAGCTCCAGGGCCTCTAACCTCGCTCTGAGATTGCCCCTTTGCGTGACCTATCTTGAGTTCAGCTTGACTCTGTTTCTTTCACTGCGTTTTCTCTTGGCCCCCTTTGGACTGCTCTTTTGGAAGTCTTCCTCTTACCTGGAGAACCCCTGCCCTTGACCACTGTCTGTTTATGGGCTTGCTTTTGGATTGCCCCTCCCTTCACCCCGCAGCAGGGTCTGATCCAGCTGCAACAGGCCGCAGAAGCAGAGCCGACTCTTGCGACCAAGGGCGCACCCATCTTAGCTGTGAACATTCCCCTGTCTGAGGCGCGGTTTCCCACATTGTGGCCTAGACCTGGGTGAGGAAACTGGTGAACACAACTCCCTTCAGCCCCAGCCAGTTCGGCCGATGGTCGCAGGGGTTGGAATACAGCACCCATCACCTGGAGGCCCAAGTTCCAGGCCCTGCTCTAATGATTGCACTGCTGGACAAGCAGCATCCAGCCTGTCAGCCATGGCAGTCGAAGAAGAAAACCAGGAGGAGCTACTGGGACATTGAGAGCCGTGCTCCAAAAGCCCAGAGAGCGACGTACCTGTGAAAAGTGCTGCCTTTGTAGCCAATAGGAACGCCATCTTTCCTAGACGACGACAGAGAAACAAACAGTCTCAGAGGACAGGAACTGCCATCCTTATGGCCCCTGAGGCGTTGGTGGCCCACAGTGCCCCCTGAAGTGGGGACCCGGAGGGCCTCAGGGGGTGGGGGGAACAACACTGCTCTGCGTCGAGAGGATGGAGGGAGACTGGACTCAGCAACCTGCCCGAGTCTGGTGCCCTCGGGACGTCTGGGACCGCCTTTCGCCATGCTTGCTGGGAATGAGGGGAGATGCAGTCCCACCCACCCAGGAGGCACCAGACTCGGAAAGACTGATGCAAAGCCAAGCAGATGTCCAACAAAGCTTCCAGGCCCACTGGAGCCATATGGAGAGCCTTCCTGTGACCAAGGGAGAGACTGGCCTCCTGGGGGAGGGGCAGTGAGTGGGCAGAGGTGCTCCCCACCCCGGCACTCAGGCCAGGCGGAGTCTGCACTGGCAGAACTCAAGAGGTTTAGCAGACTGCCAGCCATGCCTCGGGGCACACAGTGGGCAACCCCCGATTCTGCATAGTCTTCTTGCTCCCTTGGAGATTTTCCAAGTCCAAAGCAAACTACAAAATAGACTTGGCCTTTGGTCCCCCCTCTGCTCATCCCCAAATACCACCCACCAAGACTCAACTCTTTCAGCCACAGTTAGGACTCCTTGGGCCAATGCTAAAACATTATTTTAAAATTCACATGGGACCAAAACAAAAGAAACCGTTTCCTGAGGGCATAAATTGGGCAGGGCAAAGGGGGCAGAACCGAAAACACCATATTTGTGCAAACCGTGAGTTTAGTAGGATGAGAATGTTTGTACTTGTAGATGAGCTTCTAATTCTCAAGGTTTAAATGAATGAAACCAGTTGCCAACTCCTGGCTGCTATAAAATAAATCCAGGATGAGCGTCACTTTTTGAGATTTTCTTTTGGTGTTGTCAGCAATTAACTCCTTTTTTAAAATTCCAAAGAAATTATGCACAAGTGCGCAGACAAGCCCATGTGCCAAGCCAGGTCACTCCTTAGTAGGTGCTCTTTGGTTTTTCTTTACCAAAGAGACAAGCCGCCTTGTCTCCTTTCATCCTTTTTGTCATCACAAAAAAAAAGACTCCTTTCCTTGAGAGGAACTTTTGCCACCATAAAAACACCTGGAAGTCACAGCTACCCATACATACAGATCCCTCCTGTGCAACTCAGCCTCTGCCACTGTTTTCCCAGTTTGCTCACTTACGTTTCATTTTCGAGAGAACTACAAAACCGACATACCTGAATTCACCTGTACAAAACTGCCTGAAAAGAAGGAAAACAGGTATAAGTTAAAGCCACAACGAAGATGCCCAATTCTGGAACCAATGGTTTGCACTTTACTGAAGATGCAGACACCACTAAAGATGTTTACTATTTTATATTGTTTTGTATGGTTTTTATTGCTGTACCCCACCCAGGGAGGCTTGTGGCTAATAAAGCAGATTATAAATCAAATAAATAAATATCAATTTTGCTCCAAAAATGATAAAATGTCTAGTTGCAAAGGGCGAATGATAATCAAGTCCATTACTGGGCAAACAGTCGCCACCCATGGCCGGAGACGCTTTTGCCCACCGCAGCGCGCAATATTCTTTCAAATGCAGGGTGGACTCATGCTGCTACTGGGGAGAACCGCACCTGAAGGTGACTTTGAGCCTAACGCCAAAGGACTGGGATTAGGAACTCAAGTCTCTTTCCCAAACCCTGAGATACAGTGCCTGGGACAGAGCCAGGAACAGCCTCGTGAGCAAGGGAAAGACCTTCCTTTTGTCCTTCATTCACTTGGCTCCCCCTCCTATCAGGACTGGTGAAAGTCGGAGGATGGCCCCATAGAAGGTCTCCTGGTTGCTACGGGGGCAGGAGGACTGGTATGAGGAACAACGCTGTCTTGCGCCCCCCTGTGCCAGCTTTCGGGAAGGGGAAGGACAGCCTCTGCAGGAGCAGTGGGGATGATACAGAATGCAACTTTCAGGAGGCCCCGTCTAAAGGTCTGGCCTGAACTGGCAAGCCCCAGTTCGCCACATCAACAGGAGTTCCTAAGCCAAGCGGTCACCACCAAAAAGGCCATTCCACGAGTAAGTTGAGCACGAAGGCCTCCTCTGCAACCATCGGTGGTCACTGAGAGCGTCTCTGTGGGACCATCACAAAGACTTCTGCATGCTTTTGCCACTGCAGTTGTCACATTAGATATTACATTTCTGTTAAGGTAGCCTGAGAATGGGATAGGGTGTTGGAAATGCAATGAATAAATAAAGAGAATATAGAAAAAACTGAGTTCAGCACTGTCCTTTCCCAGCCCCCTTTAGAAGCCCCTGTCCCCTCAGCGGTGGAAGCAGACCATGCAAACCACCTGTAGAAATGCAATGCAGAAATTCAGGTAAATGTGCAAATGACAGGACTCAGGGAACGGAGGACTCCCTGCTCCTTCTCACCCAGTTCTTATTTGGAGTGCCACATTGGGTGCCAGGCGGAGGGAATCAATGCACTTTTACCTAATCTATTCTAAGCATTGTTTTCAACCGCACAAGAACGTGATGCAACTTTGCTATTCCCAATGTGCGAACATCTCCATAACAAGACTAACGCTCATATTCCCAACCACACAACAAATTTCTTGATTTTTTTGTTTTGCAACTGCACACAGAATGTCCAGCCGCACATTAGAATAAACTGGTCGCCATCTCAGCCTACCCCACAGGGTAGTTGTGAGAAGAAAATGGAGAGGAGGAGGATCATGCCAGCCCCTTTGCAGGACAAAGTATGTTATAAATACAAGTGACACATGGCATACAGACCCAAGCAGTTAAGTGCATGTATATGCACGTACCTCTCTCTATCTGTCGCTATAGAGACGGCCATCACATACACGGAGCAAAGCACCCAAATCCCCGCCACCTTTACGCCGCGGTTTCCTCACCGGCTCATACGCAGAAGGGGAGGCCCACGAAAGAGCTCCGTGGAAAAGACGAGCGGGCGCGCGGTCCGCTCTACTGCCATATATCTATAAGCCAGGGGGCGTCGCTCTAGGCCACTCCGCTTCTGTGGTTTCGCTTCGCGCGGAGGATTGAAAGGCCGCAAGAAGCGGCAAGAAGCGCCGCCGCTCGAGACTGCAAGTGACGCTCTAGCCACTGCCTCTCTGGCGCCCCGTCTCTTCCAGGCGCCCGAGGCTTACCTGAAATTCTCGGCCGTCTTGGGCACCACGTCGGCGAAGAGCTCCACCTTCATGCGGCCGACCTCCTGCACAGCGACAGAGCGTCAGAACCGAGTGGGGCCGCCTCTTCCCCGCTGCCCGCCCGCTCCACCCCGGCCCGGGCCCTACCTGGCCTCCGATGGTGACATCGAAGAACACCACGGGGTTGTTAGGGTTGGAAGCCAGCACCGCCATGGCGACCACCTCTCGCCCGGAAGCGGAAATGCCCCCCGCAGCCGGTTTCTCGTGGAGCAATTCATCACTTCCGGCCTCGGCACCGCCGCTGAGCGCAAGCTTGTGCGTTACTTCCGAGAGCTTGCGGTGATGGAACTTTAAAAATATAGAAAATTTGGAAATTTAAGCTTCTGTGGCAGAATGGGAGGTCGCTCTACCCTCGCATCTCCATGGTGCCTCCCCTGTGCCTAGCTTTGCAGCTTCACCTGGGAATACGAAAACCACAATCCAAAACTACAGAGCCGAGCGTGTGCAAAGTGCCACTCCCTGGGAGGTGGTTTTGAGGGACAGGGTGCTCCACTCAAGCCTGCCACCCGCCGTTGGAAAAGGCAAAACTTATCTTCCCCTCTTTGAAATGTGGGTTTTATATTGTATTTGTCAATTCCTGTCTTTTGCTGGTCAACGTTTTACGAACTGAGGGCAGCATGGATACAATTGTCAGATGAAATGTTTACTGGGATGAATGCAACATGGAACCTAAGACTTTAAAAAAAGAATGCCTCTATTTGTCTTCCTCCAGGAAATATAGGGAGCATTGCAAGAAGCTGCGTTAATACTAATGATGCAGGAAAATCAAGACACCTTGTTCAAGAAAACCAACTATTTGTGACGTGAGCCCAACAGGCAATGGGTTTAGTAAACTAATCATGCATTCGTGCAATCATGAATTTCTCCATTTATACCAGCCTGGACACTGCTGCCTTCATCCAAATCCCTCCTCAGCAGTCCTACCCCGTGATGTGAGGGAGGTGGTTTGCAAGGAGAGCTCCCTTGAGTATAGAGCCCCAGCTCTGGAACTTGATTCCATTGGCAGTCTGGTGGGCACCTACTCTTTTAGCCTTCACACACCAAGTAAAGACATAGTTGTTCCATAGTTATTTTAATTAGATGAATCTGGATTTTTTATTGATGTTTTAACCTCAACTTTCATTTTATTATGTCCTGCTGCCAATATATTTTAAATGTTTGATTTTGAGATAATTAAATTTTAATGGTTTTTGTCTTATTTTTCGGTTTTATCTATATATTTTATCTATTTTTATTTTGTTTCGGTTTTATTGAATCTCATAGTTAATTATTTTATTGTTATTGATCTTTTGTAGTTGTGTATTGTCATGTTTTCTTTTGTATTATTTTATGTTGTCTATGGATTTTAATATGATGTAATCTGTCCAGAGAGCCCATGGCTAGTGGAGCAGCATATAAATCAAACAAATAAAAATGCCAATGAACACTAAAGACAAATTTTATAACTCAGTCATCAGGGCAACAATGATTTAAGGCAGAGGTGGGGAATTCTTTCAGCCTGCAGGACCAATACAATTTCAGATACATTCTTGGTATCTGTGAAGTCCAAATAGTCATTTGGTCTTCATTGAAACAAAAATGGCACAGAATGTCCATTTTCACTCTGCAACTCACACACTTTCTAGAGGTCGCCCTAAGCACCATTGAGCATGAAAGTAGACCAAAGAAAGGTAAGGTTTTAAGATGACAGAAGGTTTTTTATTATTTTTTGTTAGGGGAAGGTAAAAAAGAAGGAAAAGTATCAAAGAATGCAGCTAAGTAAAGTCCCGAGGCACTCAAAATGGCAGACGAAACCCAACTGGGGAAATGGCAGGAGCCTCACCTATTTATACTAGGGGAAAGGAGGCAGGGCACCACCAAAAATTGTAGGCTTAGCTAGGAGAATCTTTCCAAACAGGCATTGTGCAGGCACAGCACTCGTGTGTGATGCACAGAGACCACGAAGGAGGAGGGATTTGGATAGCTGGGAAACCATGGAGGACTGGAGGGCTGAGGGTGCCCACCTCTGATCTACAGTGTAGAATGCTGCTTAACAACACTAGCTAATGAGAAAAGCCAAGGTGGATCCAGGCCAAAACTCTATTTAATCCAGTATTTTGTTCCCACAGTGGCCAACCAGATGCCCTGGGCAAACCCACAAGTAGGCTAAGAGCGTAATGGCACCCTCTTGCTCATGTCCCCCAGCTCTGGAGAGACACAAGACACCAGGCTGGCTAATACTGAGACAAAGAGCGTGGCATCCCCCCACAGAGTCCCTAGAGATATTCACAGTTTTTCCACTTCATCCAGAAATTCAGTAGCAATAGCAAAGTAATTTGGCAATATACATATATATATATATATATATATATTTAAAAAATCAGCATAAAATTAAGATTCATAACTACAAATGTACAAGTCATTTTTTAAAAAGGTAGGGTGTAGTCTTTTGTTTGTAAAAGTCTCCAAAAACTGCCTGGCAAATAGTAGTAACTCCACTTTGCTGCTACACGAAGTCACACTGCAGTGTCTCTGTGTTCTTCAGAATCCTTTCGCTGCCCCGTCACACATGATCACAGCGAGGGGGCTGATTCGGTTCCTCCTTGTGGAATTCTGCAGCATCTCTTGGGGAAACCACATTTAAGTAGCCAACCTCTGATGGCGGGAAAGGCGTCGGGGAGGGGAGGGCTCGTTCACCAGGGTCCTCCACCTTGCCATCCTGGATGGCTTTCAGAAGGCCACAGGAACCTGAAAGCCCCATCGCTGACCACCTGGAAGAGAGGTCGTTAGCCACGGGAGGGTCTCTCTCAGCATTGTTTCTACTTACACATCTCCAGTCCTCCCACACCCCCTGGGAGAGATCCATCTGCTACAGAGATTGGCAGAGCCTTCAGGATAAGCCAAGAAGTAGTTCTCGGTACAAAAGCACGGGAGGCAGGTACGGGAAGGCCGGTGTGCCCAAGCACGTTCAAGATGCATGTCTTAACTGACGGCTCGCTCCACGTTACCTGGAACGTAGGGCTAAGGACCAGCACCAAGGCTGGCAGGGCTGGGCACCTGCCAAGGGCCCACAACCCTGGGCTCGCTCTCCTCACCCTCACGACCTGCTTTCCCCCTGCCTCTCACCCTGGCCAAGCAGCAGTGGAGGTGCAAAGGCGGAGCAGCAGGTGCCACGGCCTGCAGGCTCCCCACCTGTCTGGAAAGCCACCAGGGCTGGCAGCCCAGCAGGGCCCCCGTGACAAGAACCCCTTGGATTCGCTCCTCTTCGTCCCCGCTGCAAACTGCATTCCTCACCTGACTCGCACCCTGGCCAAGACCTGGCGCTGGTGAGCAGGAGAAGCAAAAGGTGTCCTTGCCTCCTTGCTTTCTGGCTGTCAAGTAAGCCAGTGGGAGCAATGCGGAGAAGAGCAGCTGGTGACAGCATTGCTGAGAAGGCAGGATCACTGAGGGAGCGTCCCACCTGACTGGCTTTGCCCCAGGACCCTGCAGAACATGGAGCCGGTACTGGGCTAATAGCTCCTCCATCCATGTGCCAAGCCACCCCGAACCTCTGACCTTCTCCCTTGCCTAGCGCCAAGAAGGGGGCGCTCCTGCAACAGGCAAGTGCTGCCCTGCGGTGGAGCCTCGCGCCCGCATGCAGCTCCGGGGCACAGTACCTTGCCTTGGGAGGAGGAGACGTCTGACTTTGCAGCTGGCATTCAGAGAAGCCCAGGCTCTTCAGTTCCTGAAAAAGGTGAATGAGCACAGGATGAGACACATATGGCCATCAGGCCTGCCTGTGAAATCCCGGGCTTTCTAAAAGCAGAAATCCTAGCTGCTTTCATGCCCTTTTGTTTGTTGTGGCACTTTGGCAAGAAACCCAGGCTGCCGGGAGTGCTGTTGTTACATTACATTTCTGTCCTACCTTTCCCCTTTTGTGAGGAACCGAAGGTTCTCCACTCCATTTTACTCCTCACAACAGCCCTGTAAGGTAGGTTGGACTGAGACTTTGTGGCCTGCCTAAAATCACCCAGTGAGTGTCATGGCAAAGGGGGGACTAGAACCCAGATCTCCCAGGTTCCCAGTCCAGCACTCAAACCACCACCCTGGCTTTCAGGACTTCTGGTAGGTTCTCTTCTTTCTATAGTCAAGTAGAAATGGTCTTGAAATATTGTAGATTTTCTGCCAGGATTTTCAGAGTGGGGTTCAGAACCAAATTCCTTGAACAAGTGTTCCTTGAATTGGGGGGGAGGGGTGCCTGGCAAAGATCTGCAGGCAAATAAAACACTATGAGGGAAATCATGGCTGAGGTGCAACAGAAGGCAGAAGGAAGGAGCAGAGGCACGAGGGACTGGCACCTGCCCCGAGGTGGGGCGTGAAGATGCCCAATGAGCCACAGAGGTCTTGGTAACAGGAGAGTGCTGGTGGGCCAGGCTCCGGCTGCCAGTTCTGCCACAGGTGAGATGAATGCAGTATTTTCTTACTTCCAAATTGTGGTTGTGAATGCTTCTCAGCGCACGCTGCAGGACTCCAACCTGCGTGGTCAGTTGCAGGATCTGTTCCTGGAGCTTCTTGTTTTCTTCATCCAAAAAATGCACTCTGGAAAATTCCAGAAAGAGAGGGCCGAGGGAAGAATAATCTGTGCCACATCTGTCAGTGCATGGCCTGGGCTGCAGCAAGAGCTTTTCAGTCTTGGCTGGAGAGGCAAAGAATTGCTCTACCATTGGGCTGCAGTCTTTGCTCATAAAATACCTGCAAAACCTCTGCACACAAGGCTGCCTGACACTGAGCCAGGCTGCGAAAAATAGCAGCCATGGCCTTCCAGGGAATCAGACCCAAATCTGCCCCGGGCCCACTAGGAAATGGCAGAGGCGGAACCTGGCTAGCGGGGGCTCTAGCACGGAGGGAGGAAGACAATTAAGGACGGCTGCTACTGCTCCCTAACATATATCTGCCACCAGTGGGGCGCTAGTGCAGCAGGTAAGTCGGGCATGAAGACACATTTCTTCTGTAGGACTCAAGAATGGCTCTATAGAAAGCCACCTTCCCCAGCCTGGTGCACTCCAGGTGTTTCAGATTACAACTCCATAAATCCCCCAACCACTGGTGGTCTATCACAGCTAAAGCATGGCAGGATCAAGAAGGTGAAAGATGAAGGGAATAAGGGGGACAATAAATATAAAAATTGTATACCTCCTCAAATGCCTTTGAACAGAATGTAGGATATGCACATTTAAAAATAAGGACAGCAAGACCAGTGAGTGAGAGAAGCATGCACCTCACAAAGCTCACGCTGCAACGCTGCAGAGCTGTGTGTTCGTAACCCACCAGAAATTTCTGGGGTGGCGAGTGGGTATTCCAGGGGCTTTACCTGCTCTGGAGTGTGGAGAGGGTCAGTTTGTTGCTCCGCTCTTCTTCTTCGACGTCATGGAGCCGCTGCAAAAGCTTCCTTTTCTCTTGGTGCAAGCCTTCGTTCGCAGCGGTCACCTGTCTGATCAGCCCGTGCTCCTGTGTGGCAAGGAGACGGGCAGAAAAAAATCAGCCAGCCAGCCATTCTCCCAGGACTCTGCCTTCTTTCCCCCTCCCCTCCCCACAAGGTCAGAAATTCCCCAAAGCACGGTCGAAAGGCACGTGGGGAGCTGCCAAGTAGGCAGCAGTGGCCCCAGGGGTTGCATCCAGAATAAGAGAGTCCTGTGTTCAGTCTGCCTGCATTGTTCCCTCCTCTTCTCCCTCCCTCCCTCCCTCCCTGAAATGGCACAAACCACCATTCTGGAAAGCAAACCCGAGTCTCCTCTTCTTCAGCCTGGAGGAGACTCAGAGGGGACCTGTTGGCGACATACAGGTTTGTGAGGGGGTGTCACACGGAGGTGGGTAGAGACCTGTTCTCCCCTGCAGAGGAAGGCAGGACGCACTCCAACGGAGCAAAGCTCAGGGAGCCAAGGTTCTATTTGGATGCCAGGAAGCACTTGCTGACAGTCGGGACCCCGAGGGTGTGGAATGGGCTTCCACGAGAGGTGGTTGAGGCCCCATCGGTGCGGGTGTTCAAGGATAGGCTGGATGTCCACATGGTGGGCACGTCGTGAGCGGAGCCGGCTGGTGCCGGAGGTCAGACTAGATGGCCCGGGAGGCCCCTTCTGACTTGCTCTGTTTCTGTGTTTCTATGTCTCCCACCAATTTCCCAGCCTGCTGATTCTGCCCCATGCATAACCAGCAGAGATCATTCTGAGAAGCTCCCGACAGCAGTTTCACGTGGGGTGAGGCTCTCCGACAGCCACGTGGTCCGGATGCGTGCATACCACCTCCAGCAGCGTCTCAAGGCCTCTCTGTGCCAGGTGCCAGAGCCACAAGTGGGAGGCCCACACCCTGCTTGTGCACTTCCTATCTGGGCAGCTGTGGAGACAGGATGCAGGACTCGGCAGGCCTCGGGCCCGACCCAGCACAGCCCGTCTGAGGTGGCGCCGCTCCATTCCCCGCCAACGGGCACGATGCAACCCTAGGTTTGCTCAGACAGAAAAAGGGCCTACAATGCCCTTTGTGCCCCAGCCAGCCACATGCGGGGAGCTGCCAGTAACACAGAAAGCTGCAATCCTTTCACAATGCGCTAGAATCGGTGACATGCCTACACGGGCCTGGATATTCATTCCTCGGTTACCTTTATATCCCACCTTTTTGTCCAGGAGCCCAAGGCAGTACACGTGATTAGCGCTGTCTCTTATCCTAACAGCAACCCTGCACATCAGGACCGTCCGAGAGTCAGTGACTGGCCCAAGACCACCCAGTGAGCTTTATGGGAGCCAGAACCCAGAAACCCCCGGTCTCATCCAGCACTCCTGCCGCTTCACCCCACTGCCTGCGGTGAAGCGGATACATTGATATTTATGGTTTAATATGACTGAGGATGAAATTATAGCATATGCAACAGATAATGCAATTTCACTGGGAATATGGTTTCTGATTTTTTAAAATCCACCTAGCTCTCTCCAAATGCCCTGGATCATTTCCCAGCACCCCTCAGTCAGGTTCTCACCTTTTCGGCCTGGGTCTTCAACAACTTGATTTCATCCTCAAGGTGCCTGATGCGCATGTCACGCTGCTTCACTTCGGAGATGAATGTCTCCTTCGCCCGCCGGAGCTTGGCCTTATGCCGGAGCTTCCGTTCATTGTGCTTTCTGAAAAGAGAGCCAGGCCAACAAGATCAACTGGAGCAACTTCAACGCAGACAGACAACCTGGAGCTGAGAAACAGCACTGTTTCCAACCCAAGCCAGGCAGATGGTGAAAACTTCATACCCGAGTCTGCTGAGCTGGGTCCCAGCCACAGGCGGCTACAGCTCTTGGTCAAGACCTCCCGAGAAGCCTTTTCTGCAAGCATGCGCTCCTCGCACGAGCCCACCTGGCCTGTTGCTGAAGGCAACCGTGCCCAGGGGGGTCAAGGGGCTGCCACAGATCCCCTTTCTCCTGACAGTCTTACAGTTAAACCGTCCTGAGACGTCAGTAAGGGACAGTCTAAAAAAAGTTTTAAATAAATAAATAAAAAATAAAATCTCCCCGACGGCTCAGGCTCTTCCTGGACTTCTGACAGGGACAGCTCCACGGCACCCGTCTCTGGGGGCGCTACCTCCTCTTCCAAGGAGGAATCCTCTGACAGAAGCAGGAGGGTACACCTCTGAGCCCAAGGGAAGGCTCTGGCCTTCCAAAGAGTCTCCCTAGTGGTTACTACTGCTTGGTCTAAAAGAGATCTTTCCAGTCCTCTGGTGATAACATCAAAACAGGCTGCTAGAAGTTGCAGGGTGAGCAGCGAGGGAGAAGTTAATTGTGGGGTTGTCACTGGGCTGCAGTTCCCTGGCAGCGCACCTGCTTTCTGTGCAGAGGGTCCCCCGAATCTCTGGTCAGGGTTGGGAAAGGCCCTTGTCTGAGACCCCAGGGAGCCGCTGCCACCCAGTGTCGGTCCCCAACGAGATGAACCAGTGGCCTGAGTCAGCGTGAAGCAGCTTCCTATTGATCTTTTTGTGTATTTAGTGTAACATCACTCCCAAATTACAATCCTCCCCAGCATATACCCTACTTGAGTTTCTTCAGCTCTGCCCCAATCACAACATTCCATCAGCAGCAGAAGTGAAACGAGCCCTATGCAGCTTTGAGCAATGATACTGGAAAAAATTGGGGGACACCCACACGCAAGTCTAAAGCAAGGCAAATGATTTTGGAAGCAGCATGTTCAGTCCAAACGAGTCTTTCCTGTCCAAAGCCAAGCTTTGGAAAAATGGCTATGTGCATTTGGAGCAGAAGATGACTGTACTCCGCACTTGCCATCACAAGGAGTCACCGTCCGTTGCTAGAACCCCTGTGCGTAAATTCTAGTTTATTTAAAAAGAGGAAGGAAGTGAATGAATGGATTCAGGGTGGTAACTGCGTGGACCCAGGGGCTGATTTCAACCTTCTGGATCAAGCCCTGGCAAGAACCAAGCCACTGCTGCAAACTTTTGAATGTTTGTATCACCAGCAGCGAAGCAGTCGTCGGTCGCCACTGCACAGCCTGCCACCAGTCCTCCAACCTGCCAGAGCAGCAGCAAATGTGCTTAGGGGGGAGACCCTGTGTTGCCCTCCCTGGAGCAGACATGCCCACCGGCAGTACTCACTGACATCGATACACGAGTAAACAACCCAGACATCCAGCATGCCGGAAATGTGGAGGGAAGGACAGCTGGCAGCGGAACCAGCCCTCTGTCCACCATCTGCCATGTCAACAGCAAAGCCAAGAAGCAGCCGGATTGGCACAAAGGCTAAAGAATTTGCTACAGGCTCCGACATTCCTCCCCATCCTTCCCTGACTCCTGTCCCAAGGCGACAGGGCTCACAAGGGCGCCAGCCCATTCCATGGTGCCAACTTGTCTTTCTACTGCTCGGACAGGTGCGGCACAACTAACTGCTTCGGCTGTGTGATCCGGCCTGCAGAAGGACTGCCACTCCGGCCTTTACCACAACATCCACGCTGCCAGTCACCTGATGGAAATGTCCACCTGCTTCATGATGTGCCCAAATTCGCTGTGGAGGGTTTCTTTCTCCTGCTGCAAGGCCAACAGCTGTTCTGAGAGCTTCTGGCTATACTTTTGGCAGTGAAGATGCTGAAAAAAGAGATTGAGGATTCTCAGTCAGTTTTCAACCAAGCTCGGACACAGAGCCTGGTCCAGATTACAGGTGGCTGATAACCAGGGGCCACAGAGCACACAAAAGAGTTCTTCTGAAAGAATGAAATGAGTGTCGTTACTCCAGGCATGACACTAGTTCTGGCCTTGGACAGCATGGAGCCAGAGGAATCTGAAGGGTGCCCTGCCCTGTCCCCTTTTCTGTGGGCCAGCTGCCAGCCAGCTCAACAATGTGCTCCAGAGGTTTAATCTGGTCTCCAGAGCAAATGCAGCTGCCCTGTACCGCATGGGAATCATTCCCATTTGATTGTTTGCACTACAATTGAGGCCCTTTCAAAGCCTTTGTGGTTGCATGAAGGAGTTAATTTGAGACTTTCTTGCTTGTTGATCTTAAATCTAACTAAGTAATTTACTGACAACTTGCCAAGCATCTAATAACAATAAACATGCAGTGCATTACATTTATGGGTTTGGTTTATACCATGAGCTGCTTTTGAAGAAACGGCTGGGTTTACCAGTAGGATCCCAGTTCGGTTTTAAAAAGAGAAATAATAAAATAGTTTTAATGTTTTCATTTAATTATCACATATCACAATTTTTTTCTTAGCAGTTCAAAGGAGAAGACATTAGACAAAAATAAACAGAAAATGCAGAAATTTCCACATTATATTCTGTTTGCAGAATCCAGGTTTTCTTGGTGCAAAACATTGTTTGCTTTATGGTTAAGCTCATGCAGGACATCCAGCACCTTGCCTTGCTCATGAGCTCTGTCTGCCTCAGTTCTCCATCTCTAAAATGGGATCAGGAGCATATTCTGCAAGGGTCCCTTACTTACCTCATTGGAGAGTGTTCTCTTCTCTTCTTCCAATACCTGCAACCGGGCCTCCTGCTGCTGGTACTGCACCTGCAGTTCAGCAGATGCTTGGGTAAGCTCCATCTCTTTCTCATGCGACTGTCTGAGCTGCTGCTGAAATTCCTCCACCTGCTGATCCAGGAGCTTCCTGGTAAACAACATCAACCCAGTAAGGGGAAAAATCTGAGAAAATGCTGGCTAATGTGCTGCAGGAGTGACCAAAATGGGAACATAAAAAGGTAATCAAGGTGTGTGTGTCCAGAGCAGGGGAGCACTTCATCCACCAAAGCCAGCCTTTGCCACTGTCCTGATGTTTTGTGGGGAAACTTTGGCACAGCCGCCAAGGGGAAAAAGGTGGCTCAAGATTGATCCCTGCCTCCTGCTGCCAACACCGTGGCAACGCCATCATCCCAAGAGAGGAAACAGGGAAGCAGCAGGATGCGTGCACGGAGCAGGCACTGCAAGAGGCAAGGCAGGCATGCTGGCATGCGCAATCCCCACACGGGTCACACCAATGGGACCACAGCACTGCCACAAGGGGGTTCCTGCTGATGGTTCTGGGAGCTGATCAAGACCGTGTCTCAAGCTCTCACATGATGCCCTTTCCAGGGATCGTCCTCCACAAAGCTGGCTGTGTGTGGCAGCAGAGCGCCCAGTCCTGCCCCCACATTCCATGAGGGCCAGCTGGCCACCAGGGTCCCAAATCAGAAGGAGAGGCAGCACCAGCACAATGCCATGTGGTGCTTCTCCAGTTCCAATGTACACAAATCGGCTAATTTACACAAACCATGCCAGAACCATCTGCTTTTTTTTGGAGGGGGGAGGGATTCCAGTCTGTGCGGATCAGGTTCGCCTGGTGCCAATGCTCTATTCATTTCAGCGTCAGGGCAAAGACCTTTTTATGTTCCCAGTATTTTAACAATTAATTGGTTTTTTCCTTGCTTTTATCATTATCGGATGCAGTGTGTTGTGTATTGCTATGCTTTCCTTGTTCTTTGTAAGCCATCCAGAGACTTTTAGTAATGGGATGGCACAGAAAAACTTTAAATAAATAAATAAATTTTATGCTGATTTCCTTATTAGGTGTTTGTCTTCTTTAAAAGCAAGCAACTTGCATCCCATCTTAGAGAAGGAAATTCACCAAAAAAAAAAAAGAAAAAAAAAGGGCCTAACTCAGCCCACTTCCTGCTCATCGGATCAGAAGCAGGCAAAACGCCATCCAGCTCGAACAAGCCAGAGCTCCTGTTTCAGCATCTTCCTATCCCGGGGCACAAAATGGTGTGGGGAGGCTTGCGTGCACAGGGCAGGTCCCCTGCTTCAGAGCCTGCTCCCCCACACATGGGGGGCAGCAAGGCCAAGTTGGTGGTGACACAACGGAGCACACGGGGCCAACAAGCGCTGCCCACTCCTCCCCTCACGCAACCGCAGAGAGAGTGACATACTTCAGTGCCACGGTGCCTTGGGTCACAAACGCCTTGGATCAAGAACAAAAATGTCATGAAAATTTTGACTTGGGTCACGAACTCCGCTCTGAGTGGTGACCAAGATCGCAGCCATCTCCCCACCCCCCCAAGGGGGGAGATGGCCAGAATCGCAGTCGCGTTCGTGCAGGGAAGACGTGCGTGATCGCGGCCGTGCTGTGCTGCACCCGTCTTTCCTGCAGAAGCGCACCCAGGATCACGCACGTCTTCCCTGCACGAACACGACTGCGATCCTGGCCATCTTCCCACTCGGGGCGGGGGGAGATGGCCGCGACCGTGCTGCTTGGGGGGGAGATGGCCAAGATTGCGCCATCTTTCCTGCAGGAGCGCGCCCATGCCAGGGTTTCTTTGAGAAGTGCCACCCCAGCATGACTGTAATGAACAGCGTGTTGCATCCGATGGACAATAATGTGGTCTCTCATTTCCGGAGGGTTATGCAGTGCAGGAAAAAACAAGTGACTATAGACAGATGTTTCACCAAAATTGACCCTGCAGCTAAGAGACAAAGAGGGGAAGAGATCTCCTCAATGTCCTCATGGAGGGGGACTCTCCCTCAAAACAATAACCTCCCCCCCTCCGCCACCCACCTAGGTCAGTGTTCTCCACTGTACTGTACAGTACTTTGTTATTCTTTGACACTTTGTTTCAAAATTTCTGATTAAAAAATAGTTACAAAATGGATTAACCTTATTTACATTGAACCTTATGGGGAAATTTGACTTGGCTCTTGACCAAAAACTGGCTCACAACCACATTCGGAGGGGCCAGAACAGATTAACCTTATTTACATTGAACCTTATGGGGAAATGTGACTTGGGTCACATCCAATTTGGGTCACAACCAGAGTCGCAGAACGGATTAAGTTCGTGAGCCAAGGTACCGCTATATTCCCGCTTTGTGAAAGGGTGACCGAGGCAGGGCACTGATCAGTGTTACCTTTTCCGCTGCTCCTCCTGAAACTGCCGCTGAACCTTCATTTCATTTTCTCTGGCTTCCCTCACTTCCCCCTCCAGCTGCTTTCTCCCCAGGATGTGGGTCTCAGAGAGTTGCACCTGATGCCGAGATTCCTTCAGCTTCCGTTGCAGCTCCGTAATCTGGAGGGGAGGAGGAGAGGACGGAGACAGAGAAGAGGAGGAGAAAGCAGTATTAGGCGCATGGCTTCCACTGGACCAGAGCAGTAACTGTGAAGAGAAGATGCTCCAAAAGGACAGAAGCAGAAGGACCCTTGCAGCTCCCCGAGGCTGCTCGCATGCTCAGTCCTCCTCGCCTTGCTGCGGCATGCCTTTTCTGGAAGCAGACAGAAGCAGAAGCACAACCGCCGTTCGACACGATAGTGCTTTATTATCGGGCAATGCCCAACTTCGGGCACAAGAATTTTCTATTCAGGTTTCAATAAAAACTTAGATGAAGTTTACTCAGAAATAAATCTTGTCTGGCAAAAGCCACCCAGAACTTTTAAAGCAGAGGCCGCTCTCTTGCGTCTTCAGCTTCTATCGCTACCTGATTGGCACAGGGTTCAGGTTAAAGGCACTGAAGCCCTGAAAAGCCTCAGTAGCAGCTGGCCAGGGCAGCAGAGCAACAGCAGCTTTTGGGGGCGGGGGGTGTTGTGGGCTGATTAAGCGACACCCTTTCCACCCTTTCCCCATTCCACAGTCTCTCTCTCTGGAGCAGAAGCACTCTAGTTCTCACCAGCTGCCTGGCTCCTCTCACAGCACATGGCCTTCAAAGTCTGAATTATGCACCTTGGAATGCTGTATTTTGGAAGAAATGGGCCCAACCTCTATCCCAGGACCCATGTTTAAAAGAATGATCAATATTTCAAGTACCAGTGTCACAGACAACTGTTTCATTCACAGCTGATTTACTTCTAGAAATAGCCCATCATCCCGTCCCTCATTAAAATCCAGACTGCTCCTGCAGCTGCGCATCACCAGGAAGGCCTGGGGTCACACGCACAACCTGGTCACAAACCGTTTTCTCTGCCTCGGCCACTCTGGCTTTCTCCTGGGCGAGTTTCTCTGCCAAGCTGCTCTGCTGCTTCATTGCCTGGGACTGTTTCAGCAGCTGCAGCTCCAGTTCCTTGACCTTCTGGTGACTGAGCTCCCACTGCGAGGTGAGAGAGGAACACGTCTTGGAGGCATCCGAAAGCTTCTGCTGCGCTTGCCTTAGCTCGGCTTTGGTCTAAAGAGAAAGCGAGGGTGCATTTTTGGCAAGGCCTCCTCCAGTCCTCCACCTCTGCACACTTTCCTGCCTACATCCCCAGCGGCCAGGGCGCTCCAAGTCCTGCCTAAGCACAATGCTGGGAAACCAGGGCTGACCATTCCACCCCAGCCTCTAGACGGGGAAACCGGCTGGCCTGATCCCGACTGCGCTCGGCACACCGCATTAGCCCAGCACTCCAGGTGATCTGAGTAGCCCGCCGCAGTTCTGCCTGGCTTATTTATTTATTCATTCGATTTATATCCAACAAACTCTGAGTGGCTTACATCATTCTCCTCCTGCCTCTCTCAATCTTGCCCTCACACCAACAGCCCTGGGATCCTTTTCCGTGGGATTACCTGCTCCCAGAAATGAGCCAAGCCAGGACCAGCAGTGTGGCCTTCTCAGGGGTGGCAGTTTTCGATATCTTTATGCATCAAGGCCACTTCTAGTTGTGCCTTTTAAGAGCTGCTTTTTTAACCCGCCCTTGCTGGCTGCGCCATTTTTGATTCTTTTTAATCTAGTCATTAAGTTAACACAGCAAATTTGTTGTTGATCAGGTTCCCAGCCTGGTGTCTTTGCCACTCTTAGAGCTTTGCTTTGACAAAAGCAGGATAGAGTCTTTTCCAAGAGACCCATCTTAAAAAGGCAGTGTCCTCTCTCCCCCACTTAGGCCAGGAGGGCTCCCCCTGGCCTTCCTGCAGCCATGGGAAGCAGAATTACCTTGATATTCTCTTGCTGGAGCAGGATGTTGTGCTTCTTCAGCTCCAAATTCTTCTCCCTTTCATATCTTAGCTCCTTCTCCGCAGAGCTGCATAGATTCTGAACCCGCTGCAAGTCCTGCCGGAGCTGCTGCAGCTGCTCGTGCTGCTGCTGGGTTGCTGCTTTCCCTCCGGGTGAGCACTGCATGCAGGAGGGGGAACAGAAGCGCTGGGGAAAGCAGCCAGAAGCATCGCAAAGGGCCTCTGCACATGGAATGGGTCTGTTAGGAGCCATGGGGTTCACAGCCCTGCTGCTGGTTAGAGCGGGGAGGTGCCAGCAACACCATCGTGGTGCCAGACCCTCCCTGGAATCGGGCGATGCCAGACTGCCCCCCAACACCTGCTATCTGCCACCTGGGCAACAGATCACCAAGCGTGGCCACTGGAAGGCGCTTCTGTGACAACATCCTGCCTGAGCTACCTTTCTGTCTGGCTTTTCATGCCAAGAGATTCCCCGGGGGATCTCCCAACTGGGAAGCCGTTTTACCTGCTTCACATCTCCATCTGTGCTCCCCATGGGACTCTGGGGCTTGTGGGGGTGAATCTCCCCAAAGCTGGCCTCGTGCTTTAGCCTGACTGGCACTGTGCTGCTGGTGTTAAGCTGGTGCCGAAGAGCAAGGATATCTTTCCTTAACTGAGCATTTTCTTCCCACAAGAGTTGCTTTTCCTCATGGTTTCCCTGGATCTGCTTCTCTAGTTCCTCCATCTTCTTATTGCTCTCTAACAATTTAAGACTAGAGGTTAAAGGGGGTGGGGGGGGGGGGAGAGGAGAATGAGTGAGAGAGAACCAGGCAAAGAAAACCTTTAATATAACTAATTCAATAGGACATGCTTCACAGAATTCCCTGGGATTGGAGCAAAACAGAAAAATAAAATAAAATAAAATAAAATAAATAAAATAAAATAAAATAAAATAAAATAAAATAAAATAAAATAAAATAAAATAAAATAGGATGATACCCAGAACTATGCTGGAACAGGAATGACTGGTGTCTCCTCCACAGGGCTTTCAAACTCCCAAGGGGGACCTCTCCACCCATCCGTGATCACCCCCCCCTCCCCATTCCTCTCATCTGCCAAGAGGCAGCTACAGTGGCACCTTGGCTCACGAACTTAATCCGTTCCAGGACTCTGGTCATGAGCCAAGTTAAATTTCCCCATAAGGTTCAATGTAAATAAGATTAATCCGTTCTGCAACCATTGTTTAAATCAGAAAAATGTGAAGCAAAGTGACAACAACAAAGATCGTGGCCATCTCCCCTGCTACCCCCAAGCACAAACGTGGCCATCTCCCCGCCCACCCCCCCAGCACGACCAAGATCCCGCCTGTCATCCCTGCACGCGCCCGTCATCCCGGTGCGCCAGGGGGTGCGGGGGAGAGACGGGCGTGATCGCGGGTGCACCGGGGGAGGGAGAGATGGGTGCAAACGGTGTGCTGGGGGTGGGGGGATGGCTGCGATCACCGTTCCGTTCGTGCAGGGAAGGCGTGCCTGGTCAGAGGCGGCTCCTGCAGGAAAGACAGGCAGAATCTCAGCCATCTCCCCCACGGCTCTGCTCTGCTGCTCCCATCTTTCCTGCAACAGCGCGCCTCTGATCACACACGCCTTCCCTGCACGAATGGAACTGGGATCGTGGCCATCTCCCCACTCGGGGGCAGGGGGGAGATGGCTGCAATCTTGGTCACCACCCAAAGCGGTGTTTGCGACCTGAGTCAAAATTTTTCAGAAATTTTTGTTCGTGGCCCGATTTGTTCGGGAACCAAGGCGTTCGTGAGCCAAGGTACCACTGCACTCGCCTTCCAATGACAGAGGCTTGCAAGGAGCATCTGGGCTGGTCTCAACTGCTCTTCGGTGCCCCCCAGGCAAATGGCCAGAGGCTTGCATCCTCAAAGGCAGCTGACCGGGGCTGCTCTTGGTCTATCCATCCTTGATGTCCTGCTCAAGTTTCCTCCAGCTTTAAAAGTCTCACATATCCCAGCTGCTCCTCTCCAAGAGCCCTGGACTCTAGAACCCGATCACCGCTGCTGCTCTTTCCACCCCCTTTCCAGCCTGATTCACTCAGCCCTGCAATCACAGAGGCACTCAGGTTTTTGCCTGCCCACCCTCGCCTGTGTAACACACGTCCAAACATGCGCAAGGACTGTCTCCCCTGTCGGCTGCCCTACCCAGCAGCACAGCAGTTACGGTTGCTCTTATGCTGCCCCCAGGTGAGCAAACAGCACTTGCAAGTATGAGAGGTTCTGGCCATGCCTTACGCTACGATAAACGTTGAAAAGAGAGAGCAGGGGAAACACAAAGGGCTGAGCACAGCTTACTATTGACAGCCTTCCTCATCATCCTTCGCTGGATTCGCTGTTTCAAATGTACATCAAACCCATTGAAAAAATGTGAATCCACAGGGTGCTGGGACAACCCGGAGCTATTCTTCACCAGGCATGGCCAGAACTGGTGCTGGCAGAGTGCAGCAGCCACACGGAGCACTTCCCCCCTTCCCCAGGCCGGGACTGGAAAGCCAGGGGGGAAACACACAGGAGGGATCCTGTGTCTGCACAGCACCAGGGGCCACACAATTCTTGGAGAGGAACTCCACCCCCCCTCACCTTCTAGTGGGCACTCCTGTCTGAGAGATCCCAGCCCATCCTCCCCACAAGCCTGCCTTACCTGTTGGACTACTGCCTAGCCTAGTTGAGCAACAGCATCCTCATGAACCGCTTTGGAGAAATCTGGACCTAAAGATCCATCTTGGGTTGTGGGAGCATCTGGCTGGCAGGGGTGGGGGTCTAATAGCGTTCCCCAACCCGGCACGCCCCCATGAATTTGTCCAGGAAATGCTGGGAATCTCAGTCTGACATACTGGGTGGTGGCAAATTGGGAAATGGTGATCTAGGACTCATGGTCAGTTAAAAAATAGCCTTTGAAACGGTGCATTGTGTCCCTCTGTGCAGATCTGGTTTTCCAACCAGGGAACATTTTCTTTCCCCCCTTGCACACATGGGCACACCCAGTGAGACATTCCACTTCGGTCAGAGGCATGGGGTTTACCACAGTTGCTCTCTTTCTTTCTCCCAGCTTTGGCTCCGATCTTCCAAAAGCCGCTCTTTGGCTGCAGCCTTGGTGCACACCCTCCTACTTGCCAAGCATTTTTCCTCGTGTTTTTTCTCTTCTGTAAGGAGCTGGTTCAGCTGCTCACATTCCTGGGAGAGTTCCGATACCTGCAAAGTCAGGAATGTCTCTCGTCTCTTCTGGCAACATGAGCATGAATTAAGCAAGCTGGCGAGGGCCAAAGAAACTAGCAGCCAGTCCTGTGGGTCCACGTATCTCAGGCAACAGTTCCCCACCCCATACTCCATGGCCCTCAAAGAGGACGGATTTCAAGAGCAGGCTTTTATAAGGTATGGGGAAGGTGTCGTCCTAGTTCAAAGCTAAGGAGAGGAGACATACTGTATGCCCAGTGAGTGGGCATCACAAGCCCCAGGAAGATCTAAAACAGTTCCCTGGATACTGGTCAGTGAATTCAGGCACAATCCTACAAGCACTTGCGAAGGATTAAGCTCAATGCACATGCTCCTGAAAAGACATGGGCAGTAAAATTAGTGCCTTGGGAAGGGGAAGAGTACCCTGTGGAACCCTGTTTTATTTATTCACTCAGGAAACTATTGTAATTTATCACTGACAAAACACCTAAACCATTCCAAGCATGATACAGAGATTAATCGATTATTTAAAAAATGCATTCATTCCACAAGGCGGGCACACACGGCTGTCCCCTTTCCACTGACACAGGAACCTTTCAGTGATTGGTCGCGTTCTCATCACAGAACAGCGGGACTGGAAGTGGTCAGAAAGACTGTCAGGTCCACCTCCTGCTCAGTGAAGGACTCCAAGTCAAGCCATCCCTCTCCGAGGGCTGCCCAGCTGCCTCTTGAATGCCTCCAGTGTGGGAGAGCCCACCACCTCCCTAGTCCCTTGGTTCCACTGTCGTACTGCTCAAACAGTCAGGACATTTTTCCTGTTATCTGGTTGAAATACGTCTTCCTGTAACTTGAGCCCATTATTCCGTGTCCTGCGCTCTGGGATGACTGAGAGGAGAACCTGGCCATGCTCTTTGTGACAGAGTACTTTGTGACAGTACTTGCAGAGTGCTCTCTGATCTCCCCTCAGCCTTCTCTTCTCCAGGCTAAACATGCCCAGTTCCTTCAATCTCTCTGCACAGGGCCTTGTTTACAGATCCCAGATCATTCTGAGTGAAATGGTGTAAATTGGTGGCCTGCAACAGCATCGTGTTGGACCCGATGGACTTCTTGGTGCCTTCCAACTCTACTATTCGATGATTCTATGATCCTTGTTGCTCTTTCTGAACCTTTTCCAGCTTGTCTGCATTTGTCGCTAAACTGTGGTGCCCAGAACTGGATGCAATGCTCCAGATGAGGCCTCACCAGAGCTGAGTCACGGGGAACTGGTACAAAACAGGACTGGGCAGTGATACTTAGATTAATGCAGCCTAAAATAGTGTTTGCCCCTTTTTGCAGCCACATCACATGGTTGACTCATATTCACCTTGTCATCTACGACAATTCCAAGATCCTTCTCATTTGTGGGACGGTTGAGACAAGTATCCTCCAAATCTGCATTCGGTTTCTTTTTCCTAGCTGCAGAACCTGGCATTTGTCCCTACTGAATTTCATTCACCCCTTAGCATGAGTGGCAGGTTTCAAATGTCCTACTTACAAGGCCTTGGCACTATGGCACTGACAGATGGACAGATACATATTAATACAGAAAAATGATAAAATAATAGCACATGTCCAATTGTTTGCAGAAACATGGCTCATACTGCTGCCTCATGAGATCTACACTCCTAGGTGGGATGAGGATCAAAGGAATGCTGGAAGCTGCATTTCCCTGGGCCGGGCCTTCGGTCTGCCAAGTTCAAAACTGGCTGTGGCTCTTCAGGTTTCAGACTTGCATCCATCCTTCAAGCCTTAACTGGAGGACGCTTACCTGGGACATTCCACATACAAACCCAAGTTCTGTCTCTGGCATTAAAAGGACCTCAAGTGGCTGAGCTGGGAATGGGCCCCTCTGCTGTGCAGTCCTTAGTCATGGCAGTGGGCAGAACTGAGAAAGATGGTCCAACTGAGGAGAAAGGCGCTTATTCATGCTCTCGTCAGACCACTGAACTTCCGGCAAGATTCACCTTTGTTTCAAGCAACACATTCTCTTTCTGAAGTCTCTCGTGCGTCACATGCAGAACATCTCTCTCCTCTGCTGCTCCTCGAAGCACTTGGAGTTCGCTATAAAGCCGCAGAAGCTCTGACTTGGAATTCTGCAGCTCCTGGTTAAACAGGGAGGATGGTTAATAAGACACAAATGCAATCCAATCAGAGCTGTTCCGTTGGCAAATGGGAATCTTGCTACACTTTCCCCTGAGATGCCAATTTGGTGCCCAGGTGATCCTCTTTTCAAGTACCAAGTTAAGACTCTGCTCCCAAGAGCTTGATATCATACTTTTAAGTATGGTATCTTTTAAGGTTTTTATTGGATTCTAGAATTGTTACTTTTTAGCTTGTTTTCAAACTGTTCTAAAATTTTGAAAGTTGGGGGATTTATATTAATTATATTTTATCATCTTGTGACCTGCCCAGGCTGGTACAGAAATGTGGTAAGTAACTGAGTAAGTCCCACCAAACTGCATGGGATTTATTTCTGGACAGACGTGCCTAGGACCGCCTTGACAATAACCCACTGGTCATACTCAAAAGACACTTCAGTGAACGATGAGCTAATTTTGTTATGGGCCAGATATATATTTACGTATATTCAGTTCCTGGGGCGCAGCGCACCTTCTTTTCTTCTTTCAGTGCGTTCTGCGTCACTTCGAGGTCGCACACCAGCTGCTTCCTCCACTCCTTCTCCTCCAGCAGTTTATTTTCCAGCACATCAACTTTCTCCTGGTGAGTCTTCAGTACCTGGGATCAGCCCAATGAAAAGTCAACGGGGAATAGGAGCCCCATGGCAATCTTTAGCATGCACCCCCCCCCCGCTCCTTCCCAATCTAGAGAGGCCCAACCACCCCCAAAACAACTACCACACAGCGCTGCTTGCCTCTTGGCACTCCACCGCTTCTTTTGTGGCTTTGCCATTTGCCATGGCCAGACTCTCCTGCGCCTGAGTTAACTCAGCCTCTAAATGTGAGATCTGGAGCAAACAAAACAAAAACAAAAGCAAGGGGAGGACAATTACATAAGCCGCTTTGCGTCCTTTGTAAGGGAAAAGGCAGAATATAAGTCTAATGCATAAATATATAAGAAAATATTTTCAAACAGCACATTGATTTCCTTGTTAAATGGAGATTCTGGAACTGATTCAGTAGGAAAGCCCTCCCTCTGAGCAAGCCTTTCCTTCAGTCCCCTCTTCTCTCTTTTAACTTCTCTGAAGCTAAAAATTGGAACAGAAATCACACAAGAGCTGGTGGAGAACATGACCTGAGACCACAAGAGTTTGAAGCTCAGCTTCAGCATACCAAAGCACCACTCCAGCTGCCTACAGTCTCAGCCACTACTGTTTTAAGCACTCACAGCTCCATTCAAAAGGCTCTCAGGCAGCAGAACTGAGGAATGAGCACATGATGGGTCACAGCACCAGGTGAAGCAGACTGAGGGTTTGAATCCAGGACCAAAAAGCCAATTTGCCTGCTCCAACACATCTGGAAGTTATTAGTTGAGGGAGGCTGTTTTAAAAGATTTATACCCTGAAGAGTTTAAGATCACTGGCAACAAAATCAATAATTTCACAAGAAAACCTCCTCTTGCTTTAAGACTGGACAGTCCTCTGAAAGGGATGGTGTAAACTGGTGTCCTGCAACAGCAGGGGGTTGGACCCGAGGGCCTTCTTGGCCCCTTCCAATTCTACTATTCTATGATTTTGTGGAAACGCATGAACAGGGTCATGGAAAATGGCACTGCAATAGCAACACAGAGACCTAAAATGTTCAAATAAAGTGCAGTTTTCATCATTGCACACCTGCTTGCACACTTAGTGCAATCAGCGATTAAGGAGAATTGGCCTGTCCCTGTCCTCTTGGAATACACTGTCACGAGGGAATTGAAGACCTGGTGGACCAGGCAAATGGCTGGGCTTTACAAGAAAGACCTTGGGTCAGCCAGTGCACTAGATAGAACACCCAGCCCACATCCTCACATTGTTCTCCTTCCACTCAATTATCCTGCAGAAAGTCACGTTTCTTTCAGGTTCTCCACCTGCGAAGAGTTCCTGGAGCTCCCCTGAAGGAGTCACATGAACTGGGTTCAAAAGGATTCCAACTGGTCTTGACTGTTGGAGCCTGCCTGGCCTCCAGAATTCTAGAACCAAACAAGGGAACCTCCTTCTCTGCCAGAGAGTTCATTTCAGCCTTCCATTCCACATATCAAACCCTTTTATCTACCCAAGCTGAGCTTTTGTGCACTGAACTTCACAGAGTACTACCTCTGAAGTGAGAAAGACTGCACACTGCAAAATCAACCATGGCTTTCTTCATGTAAGCAGTCATGGAATAAGAGGAATGCTCCTCCTCTGGGTCAGTAACTGGCTAAAGAACAGAGAGCAGCAAGTAGGAGTAAGTGGCAAACTCTCCCGGGGAGGGGGAAGTAAACAGTGGAGTCCCAAGGGACCAGTGCTTTCCAACTTATTCATAAATGATTTGGAATTAGGAGTGTGCAAGGAAGTGGCCAATTTCCTGATGACACCAATTTATTTTGGGTGATTAAAATGCAAGGCTGCTGCAAGTAGCTCCAAAGGACCTCTCGAAAGCGGGAGAATGGGCATCAAAATGGCAAATGCAGTTCAGTGTAGTAAATGTAAAGTACTGTATGTTCGGGCAAAACATTCCAACTTCAAAGTAATAAGCTGAGGGGATCTGAGCTAGTGGTGACTATGAAAGAGATCCTGGGGTTGTGGTGGGTCAGTCTCTGTGAAAAAACATAAACCCCGTGTCAGACATAGTGAGGAAAATCAAAATCAAAATCATACTGCGTACCTGCCAGCCAGTTCACCCAACAATTTCACCTCTTGTGCATTTAAGCCCGATAGGAAGCATACAAGGAAATGAAAACCTGCATAGAGCAGAGCAGGCTGAAATGCTAAACATGTCAGTTAGCTTCTGGCTAAGCTTTGTCTGCCTCAAAATCTGGAAGAGCAACACAGGGGTTCTGCAACACATGGAAACGAAGGGGTGAAAAGTTGGAAGGATCTGGCACTCTGGATTACCTTCTTCCGGAGCTCGTCAACCTCACACTCAAACTGCTCCCGCTCATCTTTGGTCTGGTTCTGCGTCTCACCCAGGAGTGACTCCAGCTCCTCGTTCCTTTCCACCAAGTCCTCATGTTCTCGTTCCAGCTTATGCAGCTTGTGGAGGAGCTGCGCATTTTGGCACTTGATGCTTTCGACGACTTGGCAGCATCTGCATCAGGGCACAAGAGTTCGCAAGTGGTTGTCGCAACAAGAGGGGGCTCTGCGCTAGAAGCCTAAGTGGTACACATGGAAAACCCCTGGCCACGCATGAAACTTCCCGGGTGATCATTTCCATTTGCCTTCTCTCACTCTCCTCTTCCAACAAAGTTGTCTGGAGCATGAAACGAACCCTATTAAAACAGACCAAGGGCCCATATAGTTCAGCACCTGCCAGCCAGATGCTTCCAAGAAGCCCACAGGCCAGGTGTGATACAGTACCATTCTGATGTGTGAGAATTCATTATGACAGTCCCTGTAGCCACACCTGCCACACCTTCAAGCAGAACCCAAAAATATTCATCTCTACTAGAAGCAGATCTTTTGTCAAGCTACTGGGTCCCGACTACCCATCAAGGACCAACCCATCCCCAAACGCATCACATTACGGCAGGTTGCATTCACACTGTTGCTGGGAAAATGTACCCCCCCGCCCCGCCACAACTACTGCAAACCTAGCCCAGGAGGAACGGGAAAACGTGAGACCCATAACACCACTGCCCCTGCTGATCAGAAAGCCCCAGTGCTTCAACCTTGCAAGCCCTAATCACTCTTCCCAGCCATGTGTTCCCAGCACCTGGCATCCAGAGGACGTCACTGAGGCGCATCTCTGCTAAGCATGGCCAAGGGCCACAGCGCCATTGCTCCAAAGCACGAGGCTTTCACCACACCTGGTGGCCGAGAGCACCGTCAATTCATACTTGGCCCTCTTTGTACAAGGATCTCCTTTCGTCAGTTCTAAATCAACTACCAGCCTGGTATAAGCCCCAGGGTTTTTTTAATCTACTGTCATCACACCACAGACAGCTGTTCTTCCAAGGGAAGGAAAATGGCAGTTAACAGCTGCCTTAACTGTGAGGAATCCATTCACCACCGGAGGTGACAACGAAATGTTACAAAGCAAATCAAGGAGGAAAAGGAAAAGAAGAAACTGTCAAGTTGTCAAGGTAAGGGCATCCCCCTAAGCCAGGGGTCAGGAACCTGCGGCTCCGGAGCCACGTGTGGCTCTTTCATCCCTCTGCTGCGGCTCCCTGTCGCTCAAAATATGCGTCACAACCGCCAATGTGCGACACCGGCCAGCACGCCATTTATTGAGCTTTTCGACCCCCGGTAGACCAACCATGGATAAATCCAAGAAAAGAAAATTTTAGAAGAAAACAGAGCGTTTAACGGTACGTGGGCAGATTCATTTGCTTTCACTGCTGACAAGACTGTTTTACCAGTATGCTTAATATGTGGTGAGAAATTGGCAAACAACAAAAAGTCGAATGTGGCAAGACATTTCCAGAATAAACACACAGCCTTTGCTGAAAAATATCCAGATGGATATGAGAGAAAAAAGCCATTTCGGAACTGATGTGGAAGGTTGATCTGACCAAAAATCATTTCAAGAAGTGAATTAAGTCTGCAAATTCAATTACATATGCTAGTTTTGTGGCCGCTCAGGAAATAGTCAGGCATGGGAAACTGTTCACAGATGGAGATTATATAAAAGAATCATTCACTGATTTTATAAATGCAAGACACTATAGTTTTTTATACATAGCATAAAGGTAAAAAATGATACATGCAGTGTTATCTTCATTTTAGATGTCAAAAGGATTTTGTGGCTCCCAGTGTTTTCTTTTCTGTGGGAAACGGGTCCAAATGGCTGTTTGAGTGCTTAAGGTTGCCGACCCCTGCCCTAAGCAGTTCAAAGAAATCTCCACCATAAATCTATGCATGATGTGCAGAGAACAGATGGGGGAAGAGCCCCAAAACTAGAACCCTGTGGGGTCATGAAGCAGAATGGTACGAGATTCATGCACAGCACGTAAACAAGCCATAGAAGCTGATAGGAGTTACTGCTGTCAACTTCACAGAGAATAAGGTGAACACTAGCCATGAGTTTTGATGGCTATACAGGATCCCAAATATCAGAGGTAGGATATCCACATACTACCAAGGGGTGCCACACGGAGGTGGGTAGAGACCTGTTCTCCCCTGCAGAGGAAGGCAGGATGCACTCCAGTGGAGCCAAGCTCAGGGAACCAAGGTTCAATTTGGATGCCAGGAAGCACTTGCTGACAGTTAGGATGCCCCGAGGGTGTGAAATGGGCTTCCACGGGAGGTGGTTGAAGCCCCATCGGTGGAGGTGTTCAAGGACAGGCATGTCATGAGCAGAGCCAGCTGGAGCCGGGGGTCAGACTAGAAGGCCCAGGAGGCCCCTTCTGACTCGCTCTGTTTCTATGAGTTGCCGGGGAACACATCACAACGTGTTTCATTCATGTAGGCTCCCCCATTAGGGCATGCTTAGTAGGCTCCCCCATTAGGGCATCTGCTCAGCCACCAGGGAAACAGAACGTTGGACGGGTCTGCAGCAGTAAAGACCTGGCCTTGAGAATTCCTGCTCCCTTGGTACTGTTTCCAGTGTTCCTCTAAAGCTGGTCCATGACAGAACAAGACACTCCGAAAGGCTGCAGTCTGACTGCTACAGCCCTTCCTCTCTTGCACATCACTAAATGTCCAACATCATGGACAGGGAGGGGGAGTTAAGTGCAGCAACATGATCAAGCCGTTTTGTTTGGAAGGAAATGCTTCCTGAGATGCTCTCCCACACATTTAGGAAATGATAAGAGTATATCTGGCACCCTGAATACAGGACAGAAACCAAGTAACAACTGGTGAAGCTGACTAAGCATCAGAGTAAAACCATCTGAAATGTTGCCCCCTTCTTCATCGCATGGGCTACACACAGGACTGAAACAGAAGGGTGGTAGCCAGTGCCCCAACCCCCAAATTTAATTTTTAGAAGTAAGGGTCATGCAGAATGAGATGAAAGCATAAAAGAAGAAGGTGCATTTGCAAGATCTGAGGAACCAGGAGTTGTATGAGCATGTGAGAAATATCCTTACTAATACCTTTGTTCAGTCTATAAAGTTTACGTGATTTACCTTTTATGAAGTGCCTGGTTATCTTCATGATCTGAATTACCCTCCTCTAAAACACTGGCTTCTTCAGACTTTGCTGTTTCCTTTTTTTCCTAGAATGAAAACATACATAGGAATGTGAAAAGATACTTTATGCAGAATCACCAAATCACTAAATTTGCTTTCCCCAACCTGACATCCTCCAGATGCATTCAACTACAACTCCCATAATCCCCAGCCAGTAAGGCTCAATTTTCAGGTGCAATTTCAATTACCAACAGAGGTGTCCAGAATCTCTCCCTCCCCTGCTCTATGCAGCCTATCAATATCTAAAATTGTATTTAACTTCCCTTTGAGAGACTAGTGTTGGAAGAACACTAAGAAGGTGCTGAAAAAACTCCAAAGTCAGCCAGAAAAGTTTCAAAACCAGAGATGAGAAATTATTGCATGGCTAATTTTTAATAAACAAAATAATGGATCATGGTTAACAACAGAAACAGGGATTGGGTAGTTCTGCTTGGTTCTCTGGCTTGTGTCCCACAACCGTTTAACAGCGCACTCTGCGCCTGCAGCTTCAGCAAGAAACAGCTTCCTTGTGCCGGGTCAAATCCGCCCCTGGCCCCCAAATGAAAAAAAAGGCGCTGGGGCTACTAAGCTGTGTTGCCAAGGATGGGCTACAGCAGCAACAAGTGCTGCTTGTTGTGCAGGAGAGAGGCGATGGGCAGGAGGCGTCCCGTGCCTCCCACCCTCCGGCTGGCACCCTCCAACTATCTCCTACCTGACCGGGAGGAAAAAGAAGACGCTGCTGTGATACAGCAATGACTCAGACTGGAGAGCCCCGGCTGGGATTCTCCACTCAGTCAAAAGGCCTCCTGTGTGACCTTGAGTCCTTCGCACTCCCCCAGACTAACTCATTGCACAGACTTGTCATGAACGTAAAAGGGGAATCCAAATTTTGACAATAAGGGGATTTATCCCCTACTTAGGGTAAAAAAGACTTTTTTTAAAAAAGAGAGAGAAGAAAATATTGGTAACAAGCAGTCTTCAAGCTCTTTAATCTAACCAATTCCAGCTGATAAGCGTCTCTGCTCCTCCTCTAGACTTCCGATACTTGGAATTTCTCAACTTTAAACTCCCAAAAGGAAATGTACTGAAGTTTCCAATGCAGAGGGCTGGGGAAGGGCGAACATGCTGTCTTCTTCCTTCAGATGAGAGCCAAGCTCTCTAGAAGGGGATGGGTGAGTTTGGTCGCAATGCCGTGTGTGTTCTTTTCTTTCTCCCTGTCTAGAAAGAACCCTTGGAGATCCTGGCCATCTTATGGGGATTCCCTCATCTGGAATGATTTGGGGTAATCTGAAAACATGGCTACTTCCTTGGTCCCCGGGAGTTAAAATGTCCCTAATCACCTGCAGACTCAAATGCTTTTCTGCCCTGGAAGACTGCTTGGAAGCTACACTTCAGGAAACTACAAAATAGAGACCATCTCTCTCGAATTCTGAAAGCGCTGCACTGGCTGCCGGTGGAGAGCTGCACCCGACTCAGAGTGCTGGTGCCTTGAGTATTACTGACCCAGACTTACCCGTTCCAAGAATATTGTTCTCTCTGAGTCAAGAAATCGGACTCTGTTGCGTAAAGCCAGAATTTCTTTGTCCAGCCGGATATTTTGTTCTCTGGCTTTCTGTAGCTCAGACATTTCTAAAGGCAACCACAAAACCATGAGCTGTGGCATGTGGAAAGCTGCTAGCCCAAGTCTCAGAAACAGTCCGTGGCATTCTCTCCTTGACTTACTGCTGTAGCACAGCAGGTGCACATTCCAGAACGTACTATTACGATTACTGCATCACCGTTTGAGGAGCACAACTGCTTTGGGGGTACTGAGCTTGTGTGCCCCAGCCTATTTAAGCCTAGGAATGAGTGAGCATATATGACAGTGAGCCCACACTAGAATGCTGGTCTTGGGAAGGGTGCTGACAGATGTGGAGAGGGAATGCTGAAAATGCACAGAACTAATGATGGGTCAGCATGCAACTTACCACTCTCTTTCACCTTTTCCATTTCCTCTTTCAGGGTCTCTGCCGACGTTGGAGCTGTTTGAAACCAAGAGAACAAAACAGTTGATTCTGCTAGGAGCCAAGCTGTAGATTACTCCTATTCCTATTAGTAAACTCTACCTAGTCAGCACCAATAGTCCAAGCAATCCCTGACTGCAGTCAGTGCAGCCTTCCCTAGTCCAGTGCCCTCCAGAAGTGTCGGATTGCAATTCCCTTCCTCTTAGCTGGGATGGCCGCTGCCCATGCTGGTTGGGTGTCACAGGGTTATAGCCCAACACAAATGACACCAGTTTGGGAGCAGCTGGTCTACACATATAACTGCTGCCCTTGCTCTTGATACAAAGAGTCCCTTAATTTAAGGGCGTATACTCAAGTGGCCATAGTCAACACAATGGTGCCTATGAAGGGGTTTCCAGTGTGGCACCTGTAACACTGTCCTCCTATTTTTAATACATATATATGGATGTGTATAAATACATAGCAATGAATACATGCATACAGCCATCTAGCAATTGTCCACAGGCTTCAGCAACAGCAGAGCTTTTCATAGATCGAAAGCACTGCGAGGTCCTCAGTCCACAGCATTATAGGAGATGAGCGTTTATCCTCCAACACAGACTATCAGTATTTTAGCTCCCAGAGAGGTGCAGGGAAACCATTCCTCCTTCCCTCCGTAAATCTCCACAAAGCAGGTGGTACGTTTGAAAGAGTGCCTATATCAGTGAATATTGACGATGGCTCCAGCACAACGCTTCTCTGTGTAATAACCTCCTCCTAAAAAGAAGCAACTACTGGACATGGCCAACACAGAGATTTAAAAGAAGCATTCACGGTCAGCACTGGGCTGAAGTAGGCAGTCTTGCTAAAGAGACATTGTGGAGGCAAACAGAAAGGAAGCAGGCGTTTTTGCTACCAAAGCACTGATTCGCTAATAAGACATTTTTCAGTGCTGTCCACAGCAGTTTCTCCAACTCTCCAGTGTGCCCACAGGTTCAAAAGGGTTGGGAATACATGCCCTAACTTATGCTTGAAATGCGACATGTGCAGACTCGGCAAACAACTTTCTGCAACCATGCATTAATGGCACCATATTTAGCTAGAGCACACCATTTTACTCTCCTGTAGAGAGGTGGCTGCAACTTACAACTGACCTCAATGGATATATAGATGTATCCTCCTTATGTAAGTCATTGCTCACTGTATAAACACTCTGTGCTTGTGTACATGGTTGCGGATTTCACTAAAAGCCATTGAAGACAACTAGTACTCAATTAAAATGAATGCGAAAGAAACAGCACCACACATCAAAGGTACTGGGAGTTCTAAAGGACCTTAGTATGTTGAAAAATCTCTTCTAACACCACATCATCTCATCAGATTCCACAGGCGATGCACAGATGTGCACCTGTGTTGCCATCCTTTCTCATGGTGAACTCAGCTGGTGATTGCTAACAAAGCAGGACCACTAAACAATGAAGGAGAAGATAACAGCCCACTCAGGGCAATTCCAATGTTTGCAGAAAGTTCAGAAAGTGGGGAAAAGTCCAAATGTGTTCAATAAGGACTGAGCATGTTTAGTGGCCAGAGAATATTGTGTCATGTTTTGGAAGCAGAGAAGAGAAAACTGGGAGGGGAACCAGTCTCCTGAAAGAAGACACGACTGGCCGGTTGGAACCCTGAACAGGAGTGTTCCACATGCCAACGTTTTGTTACAGATCGAACCTGTAAGCAATGATAGCACGCTTCAAGTATTTGAAAGGCTGTCATAAAGAGGAAGGCCAGAGTGCAGGACATAGAATGACAGGTTCAAATTCCTGGAAGCCAGACTCCAGCTAGATATCAGGAAACGATTCCTGACTGTGACAGCACTGCAGCAATGGAACCCATGAGCTAGGGAAGGGAAGGCCCTCCCACGCTAGAGGCATTCAAGATGCATCTGGATAGCCAGCTGAGAGGGTGACTTAACTTGGAGTCCTGCACTAAGCAGGAGGTTGAACCTGATGGCCCTCTGGCCCCTTCCTACTCTACTATTCTATGATTTTATGATCTCTAACAGTCTCGCATTTTTGACATAAGACCAAAATAACTGACAATTATATCTTTAAAAAATACAACCAGAAAACAATTAACTTTTGACCCTAATTGTCACATAAATAAAATACAGTTTCTAAGCATAATAAGGTACAAATAAATTCTTAACAATCACTCTTAATTTTCAGCAATGTATGGCAATATATGAAAAATACCATAGAACTGAAGCTTTTGTTTCTAAAATAAATCAGGGATCGAGTTTTAAGAAGAAACTTGTAGTTCTTAAGAAGAATTTTGTTGTTTTAAGAAGAAATTGATTAAAACAGATTTCACAGACTTCTGAACATGCACAAATCTTCTCACTTCACCCCAGCAGCCCAGACTAACCAACAAAGCCTGTCCAAAAATCGCTGCTAAGTTTCCACATTACACGGAATGGACCTTTAAACAAAGAACAGCACAGAAGCACTCGGAATGTAACATAATAAAAATTACCGATACAGGAACAGGTGCCTAAGATGATGTGCACATCACAGCAATTTCCTCGCTGGCTCAAACACCACCCAGGAAAGGAACACAGAGGCAGCTCTGCCTGCGATTGGAAGGCACCACTTTGCCTGGGGGCTCTAACACATCGGAGGCTGAAACACGTGCCTTCTGATGTAAAAGCTGTCCTAAAAAAATATCGATTAACCACGGCACAACAGGGAGTCAGATCACGACAGGCAAAGCAACTGCTTGGGAAGCTGCGGGGACTGCCCGCTCTTGGCTGGCCTCATGAGGCTGCCTGCTTTGACAAGAGGGAGTTTTGATGTCACATCCGAGTCCCCGAAGGGAACGCCGAGAAAAAAAGAACCGAAGAGGAGCCCTGCCGGATCAGGGCCAGCAGCCTCTCTAGCCAAACATCCCACTCCCTCGGTGGCCACCCGGATGCCCACGAGAAGTCCTCAATCAGCACCTGAGCATAATAGCCCCCTCCAGGTGTTGCCACTAGGTGACTCGTGACCTGAGGAACACTGATCCTGGAGGCCACATCAAGCCATGACTTCTGCCTGCTGATCGCCTGATCTTCCACAGATGTGACTAATCCCTTTTCAGAGTCAGTGGCTCCCAGTGCATCTCTGCAGCAATTAATTCCATTCGGTTAATAGCAAATTCTGAAGTTAATTTTTAAAACCTGCTTTCTATTCTCCCACCCACTGCCGCAGGGTCATCTGCTATCTATTCCCCTGTGGGAAGGATTCCAGAAAAAAAGCGGGGGAGGGAGTCAGGCAAAGATCTCAGGGCCACCTCTGGCTGGACTCCCCCACTCCACTGCTCAGACAGTTAAGGCCATCTACCAAAAGCTCTCTGGGAAGGAGTAGGTAGATGCAGATGATATCAGTTCCCGTTTCAGTTGGACTTCCGCTGCTCCAGAGCCATCTTCCACCAACTACTCTGGTTAGAACTGATCCTGGCCATTCTTTAATTACTTTATCTGGTTAATACCATTCTGTATAGTAAGTTTCAAAAGGCCATTGAAGTACAATGCAGTTACAGAACAAAGTATTGTCCACCATAAAGGAAAGACTTTGCAGAAAGTTCCAGCAGATGTCCTCTGCCTGTTTGGAAGGCATGTACCCTCACATTCCTGAAAGGAAAGACTATGTACCTGTGTGCCATTAACTACTTCCTGGACATTATGGGGCTCTCCCAGAACAAACTGTCTATTCTACCATGTGTTGCAATGTACAGTATGATACAACATCACGCTTACTTTCAGGTACATACACATGTCTAAGCCCTTCTTCTGCTTGAGGAGTTCCTTCTGAAGAAGGGCTTGGTTCACCTGGCTGTCTGAGTGTGGGACAGAACTGGGGACCCAGGAGGGGAATGCACGGGCAGAAGATGAGGGGCCTCAAGGGTGCGTGAGAGGAGACTTCCCCTTGCCCAGGAAGTTTCAGAATCTGACCCAGAGACAGGAAGCCCTTCCAGCCTTTCTGACAGCTGCCGCTGAAGAGAAGCGGGCAGGCCTTCCCTCTCTGGCAAGGTACCAAGTTGCACACCAGGCCTGTGTGATTAGCAATGGCCAGGAGCAGGGCCATATCCTATCAGCTCCTGGCAAAAAGGTGGCCAAGAAAAGAACTGCCAAGAAACTTGCTGGAAACAAGCCTTCTAGCCTTGCCTCTGCACTCTAGACTTTGTTCCCGACTCCTAGCCTTGCTGCTTTGACAGGATCCTCTTGAACAAGCCTGGACCGAACCTCAGTGCTCAGCCTCCTCTGATGACTGGACTGACTTGCAGGCTTATGGTGGAACTGACCCTGGCAGCTGTGCAACTTTTCACACGGAGAAGAATGCAACTGACTTGATTCACTGATTTACTGTAAGGCTTAGGTATACTGATAGAGTTCCTCTGGTCATACACCAGGACAGGATATTTCATATCATTGCATTATTTGCAACAATAGATGAGAAAATCTGAGCTGCCATTGTGAAGAAAGTAGCAATTGCTGTGCAAAGGTGATTCTCTAATCGAGGAAATTAAGTCCAATTTATCATGAGGTGCTTTTCTGAAAGATGTTGGGGTACCTGAATGTTCGTACCTCTGTACCATTTTGAGAAGCCCGTGGCAATAAGCAATAATCCCTTTGTGAACTTGAAAGGTTTCATGTCATTTGCCTTGGCAGGCTCTCTATCCTGAAAGGTGGCTTGGCAATAACCATAAAAAATTAAGCAATGAATAAATTATGGCCTTCGACCTGTGCCCCGTGTCTGCTAGCCGGAGGACCGTTGAGGGCCCTGGACTGCTTTTGCACCACCTCCATGGAGCCTCTCAGAGCCTGGAATGTGTTACAGATTAATGCTGAGGACAGCCCCCTTTTCAGAAAGCAACTCATTCCAAGCTGAAACCTTCACTGCTCCAAAGTGCAACTACTGAGGATTTAGCCACAGCATGCAGATTACATCATATTCCTGGAACTGTATATCGTCTACAGCTATTTATCTGTTTCTGGCCTCAATGCAGCCTCGAGCTTCAGCTTCTAAAGCTCCAAATGGAACAGGGCCAGAGGATCTCAGGAAACACCTTCTCTCACAGGACCCTGCTCAGGCACCAAACAGTCCTGAAGCCCTGATTCGTATTCCCTTTTCAGGTTAGCATGAAAGACAGGGCCTTTTCTGTGGTGTCACCTACAATCTGGAACACCTGCTATTAGACTCCATTGCCACTGACTTTTTTTGGCATTCTTTTTTGTGGATATTGATTGTTTGAAAAACAAAATGGGATTCAGTCAATCCGTTCTTCCACTTTAGGTTGGATCTAAGCCAACCTAAATGAAAACCACTGAAATCAACAGGATTTAAGTTAGACATGACTAAGTTAAGCCTTATTGATTTCAAAAGGTTTCCCTTAAGTGCAACGAAGTCAGGACTATTCTATAAATCTTAATTATTTTAATCAATGCTTCTTTTGGCTGTTTTAATTATGTACTTTTATTACATTATGATTGTCTATTTCAGTATCTTGAAAGAAGTGTTGGGAGTAAACATTGATGATGGTTATGACCTACAAAGCTCTAAACGGATTGGGACCAGGATACCTAAAGGAACGTCTTTTTCCCTACATGCCCTCCCGCCCCTTAGGATCTATAGCAGAGGCCCTACTCGGGGAACCCTCCTTGAAGAAGATTAGGAGACAGAATACCTGGAGGAGGGCTTTCTCTGTGGAGGCACCGGCTATGGAGTGCACTCACTAGAGAGGTCTACCTGGCACCTTCATTATATGCTTTTTGGTGCCAGGTCAAGACCTTTTTATTCACCCAATGTTTTAATGTTTAGAAGATTTTAATTATGTTGTACTTCAGTCATGGGTTATTAGTTTTATTATTATTGTTTGGGGTATTTATGATATTTTATATTGTTGTATTTACTGAATTTGTTTGTAAGTCATCCAGAGATGCATAGTGATGGACGGGTTAGAAATATCCCAAATAAATAAAAAAAAAATGATAAAAAAGTCCTCCTCTTGGCCCAATGGAGGGTTTAACCAACTCTTTTCTTTATTATATCTGTTTCAAAGTCCCCCGTGAGAGACACATACTGTAAACACTTTTAATACCTCCTGCCCAGATGAGGAAAAACTGCCACCTTCTTTGGATACCCAACTTGTGTCACCTGGGCCTGGTGCTCAATAACACAGTCACTCTGTTATCTATTAGTAATGCTTGCAAACTGTTTACTGTAATAAAGCTCTTATATTCTTCCTCTGCGGTTACTGTGAGACAACAGATGCAACAAGAAGGCGATGGGAAGGATGTTGCATGTCCCTCTCCCACAGCACTTCCAACCATCTCCTGAAAGCCAGGGGTTGATGGAGCCTAGCCAGACGCACAGAAACTGGAGGAACTTCTCAAGGATTGAGATGGCTTAGAATGGCCTTCCCAGCTTCCAGGGGTGCTGCTCTGACGCAATGGCATGTTGGCAGAAGCCTGAATAAAACCTAGGTAGGTTGCCAGGCCCTACAGAAAAACGGTCAAGCTGGCACATGCCAACACGTTTTGCTGGAACTCACCCGACTTGCTGTGCCTGGTCTTCTGTGCATTCAGCTCCTCTGTCAGCCTCCGAATTTCACCATGTGCCGCCTGCAGCCTGTGCACAGCTTCATGCCAGTGACACTCGGCGCATGCACACAAAGCACTGTCTCTCGCCTGCTCCTCCGTGCGGGACTGGAACACAAGCCACGAGTCATCATGAAAGGGACAGGCCTGCACCTCGACATGAATGTTCAGCAATTTGAGCCGAGGAGCAGCGGGGGTTCTGAGGGCGAGGGGCCTGTTTTTATCAGATGCACACAAGCAGGCCAGATTCAGGGCCTTGAAAATGATACGGCTGCTATATTGCTTCTTAACCAGAAAGGCTTTTTTAAATCCAACTTGCTTTGTGAGCCACAACTCAGGAACCATCAAAAGTGGGGTGTCGTTATTGATTGTGAGGAGCTGACTGGAAGGAGGCAAGCCCAGAGCGGGGACTCATACACTGACGGCAAGCTCTCTCATGCCAGGGAATTCGTTCTTCCTTTGCATTAGGAATGAGTATGACACCCCATGTCATTTAGAGACAAGGAGTGCTGTCCGACTGAAGGGAAGCAAGGCCAGAGCCACGAATCATGCAGAGGTGAGACTCCTCCATGGGTTTGGTGCTTTGGGCTCGCAGATGCCTTTGGCCCATTGGTTGATTAAATACACTGGGCTTGGATATTTATTTAAGGCAGCAGCATGGGAGAAACCTATAGACCTACAGATAACTTCACCAGGAAATTCCAGGTAGATCGCACTGTGCATCGTTTTATGAGGCAAAAGTATACACGTATCATTCAGATGTCCCATCTCAACCACCAAAACATCTCAGGTTAATCTCTCCTGGGAATGACTTGGACAAAGTCTCTCAAAACCCCACGGCGGAGGGGGTAAAGCAGTTCCTGTGAATGCCGAAGGGTTCAGGTCCAAAGAAAGGTGTCTCCAGATAGCAACGGGGTCTCTGGAAGCAGAGCTGGGAAAGAAGGCCTGGAGAGCCACCGCTGGTAACAGCGGAGACTGCTGGGTCAGACCAACAGGGCAATGATGGCCACAGCTCCGTTGCGCAACATATGCCCTGCCAGCACAGAGCACCAGGGCAGATCTCTGGTACCTCTTTGATAGTCTTTACAGCGAGGAGCAGGGCTGAGAGAGTTCCCTCCAGGTCCAAGACCTTGGAGATCCACCGTCACTTGGAACAGAAACTACAGGGCTGGATTCAGCAGAAGGCAGCTTTGTACAGTCACACAGAGCTCCGTCCAGCACTTTCCATTTCACTGGTATTACATTTGGTAAGTAAGCTGTGTTTTCGTTTAGGGAAAGCCAACACATGCCTTAGTTACATCCTTGGAAAGACTACTGCAACGTGCTGCCTCAGAGGACAACTTGGAGATGGCAACTGGTACAGAATATGGTCACATTTCCTCGTTGGGCTTAGACTATCAGATCACATTGCACCAATTCTGGTTGCCAGTATTTCTTGGCTCAATCCAAAATGCAGGTTTTTACCTTTAAATGGCTTAGGTGCAAATTATTAGAAGGACTGCCTACACCTTTATAGACCTGTTCTTGTACTGTGATTAGGTCCACGTACGTTGCATCAATGACGCACCACTAAGATAAGTAAGATGGCCAGGCACTAAAGAAATGGCTTTCTCAGTGGTGGCCCCAACGCATGGATTCCCCTCTTGAGAAATATACAACTGACCTCATCTGTAGCTGCTCTTAACACGTTGATAAAAACTCATTCATTCTGCTTGGCTTTTGCTTGAAAATATTTAAAGGTATTAATAGCATTTAGATATTTGACATTCCATTTTATTCTAACAGGCTTATTGTAAAATAGTTTAAATTCCAGGTACTTTTATAATTTGTTTGATCCTGAATTGTAAGGAGAGCACAGCCTTGAAACATAGCAAAGAAATGTACTAATGGCATGATTGTATGGCTTGTGACCTCGCTACCTGGAAGCCCCCAAACACAAGGGCTTTCAAGATTCCTATGCCCAGCAGGGGAGGAGCAGCAAGGATATCTTTGCTCTCCTGTCCCCCAAGCTTTGCTTTTTCATCAGAAGGCTTTTGAACTGGTCTAGCAAGGCCCCACCAAGTGGGAAGGGGGCTCAAGAGAACTCATACCTTGGCCCCTTCAGTCTCCTGCCCTCTCTGCTATCTGGAATTACCCCCTTTTGCCACTCTCTTGGGTGCTCTCTCAGTGAGGCAGCTGGCACAGTCTTCTCTATGACAGCTACCAGAGGGCAAATCTCTGACTTTCCCTTCAAAGGCCAGAGAACTATATTCAGCCTTGGAGCAGAGAATCCAAGCTATCCCGTGTTTTCTGGGATGTTCACCCTGAACTGAATTAAAAAGTTCTAAAATAAAAATAAAAACTTCAACCCACCCTGTATACTATTGCCATCTCATTGCCTTGAATCTACCCAGGACATGAGCCCTTCCAGATATGAAGTCACACTACATGAAAGGTAAAAAAACACACAAACAAACCAATTTCTTGTTCTTTTTTACTATTTCATTCTCTGCCTCTTTGGTGTGCTACCTGGATTCTTGCTACTGCTGAAGCTCATCATCTAGCTGGACTTAATCCAATTCATCCTTGCAAAAAAAGGAGAGAGAAAACTAAGACTGCTGTAAGAGCCAGCACGGTGTAGTTGGTAAGAGCATGGGACTGGGACCCAGACAATATGGGTTCTAGGCCCCACCCAGCAATGAAGCCCACTGGCTGACTTTGGGCCAGTCACCACCTCTCTGCCTAACCTACCTCACAGGGTTGTTGTGAGGACAAAATGGAGAGAAGGAGAATCTCGTAAACTGCCTTGGGATCCTTGCTAGAGGAAAAAAAGGCAGGATAAATGCAATGCAATAGTAATACTTTTGCTTTATGAGCTGCACTGTGTTTAACCTCTTGCTGGATTTATCCTGGCAGGCACAAGGCCACTCTCTGAAGTAACAGCAGACAAATTCTGTGGCATTTGTGGGGCAGAGAGACCTGCTGGGCCAGTGTCTCTATCACATGCCAGGCTCGTACGTCTACAGAAAAGGGGTCATGATTGGTGGTAGGAGGCAAACTCCAAACACAGGCCGGTGTCCGCACTGTAAGGCTTGAGGGCCACTGACCACCCCTGATCACTCACCCCCTGCTGCTCTTTACAGCTGACTCTCAGCAAGGACTCTCCTGCTCTGCCTTGCAGTTTGCTTTGGCAATCCCAGCCTACAGTGCGAGGCATCCCAAGAGGGAAAGAGCAACAGAATGACTTGCTGCTGTATTGCAGCCACAAGAGGTGGAGGGAAAACAGCCCGTGCAGGCACAGATCTGCACCAGGAGATTCTGCAGCTCTAGGTAGAGCTGCAAGTGCCAAGAAGACAACCCATCCCAGGCCAAGGACCAGTGAGGCCTTGCCTTGCCAACACACGGTGGGTAGGAGAAGAGTGTAGGCAATAATGAGCCAGATGAAGCCCTGGGCTGACGTGGGATGAGGCAGCATTCTGTGTTTCAATGTTCAAGCTGCTGCTGGAATAATCCTGGCACCATGTGTTTCCATGCACGACACTACACTTGAATGGCATCATATCAAGAAACGTCTGTCACTCATTTTGAAGCAGTTTGCATGATACAAAAGTATTTGGGGAAGAATACGGAAATGCTGAGGTACCTGAGGCTGAGCGGCCCAGAGGGTGTCCAGACAGCTGGAGGAGTCGAGCTGTTGCTCCAGTGCCTCTGTTTTCTCCAGCAGTGTGCTCCGTTCAACCAGGAGATAAGCAACTTGCTCACTGGGGCTACTGTGGGCGATATCAAGCAAACCTTCCTGTTCCAACATTTCCTCAACTTCCTTCTTCTGGGATTCTGTGCGAAAAACAAAAATTAAAATGTGTGCATACATGTGAACACACGGGTACCCACACAAAATTCAGCAGAGTAAGTTTCCTTGCAGAAACAGAATTATTGAGAATGCTCACAAGGCTTAAACAAGGAAAAAACACTCCCAAAATCCTTGGCAGGAGAGAAGTTTTTGTTCCTTCCCTACAAAGAGCTAATGGCAATTTGGAAGTAGTCCACTACTCATCCCTCTCTGCTCCAGGGACTGAAAAAACTTGGTGGTTTCCACGACTTGCCTTTCCTCTTGCCTTTAAACTGCAGTTGCAGAAGCGGGGGATGCGGATACCTAGGGAAAGAGAGGGGCCTGGGCAGGGGCCCCAGACCTGCTCATCCTCCGCCAGAAAGCACCTGCTGATGGCGCCTTTAGGGCAGGCACGGGACAGTAATTTCAGCAGCAACAGGAGAAATGTGCGTGCCCCTTCCCACATTTTCTCCTCCGCCTTCCTCCCCTCTCTGGTTCATTCACGTGGTCTACTTTGTCCCAAGACTGTTAAGAGATGCAGAGGGACACACATTATTTGCAACTGCTGCCAGGCGGACTGGAATCAAGCACAGGAATAGAAAGGAAGGCAGGCAGATTACATCACCACGGAGTGGGTGGTTTGGGGAGAGGATTAATTCCTGACTTCCAGCTAAAACACATTACTTTTACTCATGAACATTCTTCTGTTGTAAAAGTATTCTGGTACTTAAAAACAAAGTCCCATTTGCCTTACTTAACTTGAGGGGGGCCAGTTCCCCTTGGGGCTTCCTTTGCTGCTGCCACCAAGAACAGAGCAGGGCCCTGACCGATTTCATCTGGGCCCAAGAAAGAGAAACTGCATCCTGGCCTAGCCAATCAGACATGGGGGAAGCCTGGCTGCCGGCTGCTTATGGTGGTGGAACAAGAGCAGCATGCCCGCTCGATGATTCCAGGCTCCTGGCAGGTCTGCAGTGCAGTGGGGGGAGAGCCGCAGACTGCACAAGGACCACCAGAGCCCGGGCAACTCTTCCCTGACGCCCAGCGGAAGTGCCATCCACTGGGTGGCAGGGAAATCACCACTGCTGCTGTCCAGACGACTGTGAAGCGGGGGGCTTTACATGCCCACTTAGGGACCCCAGTGCGGTGAGATGCACTCAGCAGCAGGGATACAACAGGATTTACTTCCTTCTGCTCCCCAGAATCCCAAGAGAGCTCCCCCTTTCCTCACATTTTGGAAGCCCGTCATGGGCACAAATATAGTAAATGACAGGATGAAATAAAAATAGGTCAAACCTCCCACCCATCAGCAAAAGCATTCTCTCCACCGATGCCAAGTCCTTGCATGCTTCCACTCAGATGGCTTACACCACTAAAATTGACACTGGCCATGTCATTTTGAGGCCAAATGCCCCTCCCCCCATTAAATACTGTTGATCCTCACACTGTATTGATCCAACCACAAAACACAAAGCGCGATTAGACAAGAGCTACAGAGGCTGGCTTCTTTGCCAAGGTTGGGCAGAGAGCAAATGAGAACCAATGAAAGCAGTGACCAGAGAAAAACAGCAACAGCAAGGTTCATTTGTCATCCAGAGTTTGTAAAAAAATTCTTTAACAATCCCTCAATGGTCTCATGTTTTACTGACCACACCTGAATCCTCTTGACAGCAGAGAAGAATTTCCCTGCAGGCCAGTTCGCCCAGTCAAGTCACTCTTTGGTTCTTGTCTCAAATACAGTGTGGTAACTGTGACAGAGGTTTATAAATTTCTATACCATGCAAAAAGTGAAACAAGTTTCCCTTCTGTGTAATTCTAAAACTTCACTGAGTGAAGTTCACTGGTGCCACTTCAGGTCACCTAAACAAACATTTTAAAAGGCATAGACAATTTGCGGAGGAGTTAGCGTGATAAAACCTCCATGTTGGGAGGCAATATACCTCTGCATGACTGGGGCTGAAAATTGGCAGGGACATCCAGGGAAGGCTGCAGTTTCAAGCCCCACCAGGAAGCTTCCCAGGGGCATCTGGCTGACTGTTTATGGAAATACGATGCTGGGTGACACAGACATTGAGCCTGACTCAACAGGGCTCTTCTAAGGTTTCTAGAGAACAGGCCTGCTGCCAGAGCCTAAACGTTGCACTCTGAATCCACTTTTAGAAAGTTGGTCTGTGGATAACTATTTAGACCAACGTGTGTCATGAGCATCGGCAGCAGGTAAAACCAGCAGAAATGACCTTTACTTTCCAAAGAGCCCAGCCACCAAGGCATGGAGAATTAAATCCTAAACCCTGAAGTGGGCAGGAGGGACTAGGCAGAAAAAGAGAGAGGTGCGAAAAGTGGGTGGGGGGGAGAAAGAGAACGCAAGAGAAAGGGGAGGTGGGGGAACAGAAAGAGGAAGAACAGTGGGGAGAAAGGAAGGATAACAGATGGGTGGGACATGATGTGCAGTTTTGTGTGTGGTGCATATAAGAAAGAAAGAACAAAGGAGGGTAGGGAGAGAGGGAGGGAGGGAAAGATGGCTCTGGGCCAGCCCACTGCTGTTATTCAGCCTCCTGCAACAGTTTTTCCTGAATGGGTTAGAGTTCTCAAAATTGAAAATGAGGTTCCCCACCCCTGGCTAAGAGGTGCAGGCAACAGAGAGGCGTTTTTTGCAGTCCTACTTTTGGACTGTTCCATCAGTGCTGAACCTGTGTGATCCCACCCTGCTATTAGGGTTGGCAACGATCAGCCAGGGAACTGCATAATCCCTGCAGCGTTTGTAGCTCTTGAGCATCCTGAATCAACACAGCTGCCTCCCCTTTCTGGAACTGCCTAAGCAACCAGGTCTCAGTCCAGTGCTTCCTTCTTGCACCCCAATTTCTGCAGACCAGCCTATGAAAAAGCTGGACATAAATGTCAATAAAAGAGCTATATGAGCAGAAATATGGAAATACTGACATGTTGATCCAGTGCATGTGGGCACACACACAGAGATACGTTGCTTCCAAAAGAAATCCCTGCAGCTTTCTCGGAAGAGACATCGGCCACCATGACCAGCCTCCAAGTAACAGAGCACCGCCTCCAAACCCTTCTCTCACCTCACTCCCGGGCTCTGAGCCTTCCTGAGGTGGCACTGCTCCAACCAGTGCTGTCTCGGGAAGCAAGGCAAGGAGCAGGGCCTTTTCTGTTGTGGCTCCCTCTTAAATTGAGCACTCTGCCTAGACTGCCTTGAGCACCTTCAGGAAGCCTCTTAAAACCCTTCTACTACGGAAAGCATTAGGAGTGATTGGGCCATCACTGCAGTTGCTACTATGCCCCATTTTAATGCTCTGAATTTTCTCGGATGCTCATCCAGAATCATTCTGTAGAACTACACAGGGTTCCGCTTGTGGCATGCCAGCAGCCACAACAACCTTTCCACCAAATGGCAGAGAAACATTTCAAGAGAAAGCATGGAGGACAGTCCAGCAAACACTCATCATGCAAACCCTCATCATGGGTGGCAATTTGAAAGTCCTGCAGGAGAGCGCGATTTCTCTTGAGGCAGTCAGCAAACATAGGGCCTCTCACTTAGGATACTGCGACAGAAGCAGGCTGAACTGCACTGATGCCACAGTGGTCAGCATTCCATTTAGTGGTCAAATCAAGACCTCTGCCCGACAGACTGAATGAAATACCATGGCGGGGGCACAGCAGCAGGCACTTTCTTAGCAACTGCCTTCTCCTCCTTAGGGGAGGCCAGCCCTTATACCTTGAGGGCCCCAATTCCAACGTGCTCCACCCAGTGGGGTGGGGTGAGCAACAGAGACAAAGATTACCATGTTCCAGCTGCAGCTGTGTGAACTCCATCCTGAGCTGCTCATTTTCTCTCTCATATTCAGTTGCCAGAGCATCCCGCGCCTCCGTCAAGGTACGGACGTGGCCCACGTAATTTTCCACCTGGAAGGAGAGGGACAGTCTAAGCTCGCATCGCCCAACCCTTCAGGACACAGGAAGGCACCTTCTATAGAGGCAGCCCCCCCCCCCCCGGTTATTTTGCTGTTTTGTTTTTGGCTTGGGATCCACTTTGTCTGGTCCACCTACTCCAGTGCTGTCCACTCTGAGAGATGGGGGCTCTCCAGGGTCTTGGGTAGAGAAGGGGCCTTTCCAGCATCTCCACCCTGATCCTAATCCTTGGCTTCCAGAGATCTGGAAACCAAGCCTGCACCCTTCTGCAGCTAATAAACCAGACTCTTGCATCAGCCACAGGAGCTCCCAGGGAACAGAGGAAGCTGCCTGATGCCAGGTCAGACTCCACCAGCTCCTGTCAACTTGGTGCCCTCCAGATGTGCTGGACTGCAGCACCCATCAACCGCAGCAGGCTGTGCCACGCTCACAAGAGACTATGAAACTTGTGGCCCGACAGGGATCGGGTGGAGAAGGCTGCTATGCACTGAGTGATGGCATTTCCAGGGTCTCAGACAGGGGTCTTTCCCAACCCGACCAGGGCCTGCGCTTGGGACCTTCTGTCCAAGCAAAGCAGGGCCTCTAACGCTAAGCAGTTGTCACTTCTCCAAATATGCAAAGCTGTCCTGCTGCAGGCCGAGCCATTTGATCTCTCAACCAAGAAAGTCTCCTTGGACCAGCAGGGGTTCCCAACACCGTGTCCAGAGGCACCGTGGCGTCCATGCACACCTCCAGCAGTGCCTGCACAACCCTTCATTTCCTGCCCATTCATAAGAAATCTTTCTCATAAAGCAGAAAACTGCTGAGGTGCCCACCTCTTCCTGTTCCTGAACCTACTACTGATCATACACTCAGCAGGCAGGAGGAGAATGCAAGGCAACGGGGTAGAGGGGAGAGAAGGAGCAAAGCTAGACACCAGGAGATAGAAGAAACAACAAGACAAAGGGGAGAGTGTTAGGCTGGGGGTTAGAAAAGACATGAACAGCAACATAAAGGGGTGAGTAGGGGTAGGAACGGGCAAGGCTGAAGCCTAAGAAGTGAAGAGAAAGCAAGAGTATGGGAAATGCCGAGGCATGAGGGGATGGCATATAAAGGTTTTAAATAAATAAATAAACGTTTTCGATGGATGGATGGATGGATGGATGGATGGATGGATGGAGACAGGGCTGGCCTTTCCTTTTCCCTTTCCTCACAGTCTTTAGCTGCACGATTTCTGTCCCCCACACATCTTCATTAGCCAGGTCCCAAGGCAGCCATTCGGTGACTAGCCGCATCATCTGTGGCAGACATTTGTGGGGGTGCCCACAGCAATTTCTCAGATTCCCCAGTGGACCATGGGTCCAAACAAGCAGAGGACTACTGCTCCAGGGACTCAGGTAGAGAAGGACCCTCCCCATCCCCTGCTCACTAGTGCCCTTTAATTTATTCACCCTTCTTTGCTCTGCAAGGCAAGCCCTCCCAAGGCAGCTTACGGCAGAGCATTTAAGAACAAAAAGCCATGGGATGGACAGGAAGCGGTACTCATGTGCGTGCAGCCCTTCCCAGAGCGAGTGCCTATTTTGCAAGCATTCCTTTGCCTTCATCCTTCAGCAGAAGGGACGGTGGTTCCGATCTGCCCTACCAGCATGCTTGGAGAGCTGCTCTTGAACACATCTGGAGGGAACCAGGTCGGTTAGAGAAGGCTGCCTTGCCGCAACCTTGTAGGGTAACCTCAGTACTATCATCCACTGTACTGCACGGCATCAGTCAAGATTGGACACAGACGGCCAGTGAGAAAATAAAGAAAAAGCACAGCGGGTTTTGTTTAAGGTCCTTTCGGTCTGCTTGGCTGCCGACAGGTGGCACTAATGCTCTTGCAGTCAGGAATATCCTGTAAAACAGAAGGACTCGCTGCACTATTGACCCACTCTGCTGAAGTGTTCAGCCACCTGGGAAATCTTAAGCAGTCTCCATAACCAGCAATTTACACACACCCCAAGATGGAGCCCAGGACAGAACAGATTCCTGTGCTTTCTTTGTTGCACCAGTAACAAATACTGATTATAACAGAAAAGTGTCCCCAAGAACTGAGAAGAGCTCAACTGGAACCACAAATTCCAGCATTCCTAATTGGAGATGATATAATTGCAGTCTAACCAATCAGAAGGGTGGTAACAGGTTGGGGAAGGCTACCCTGTGAGAATGGAGGGGTTTAGAGAAGCTCACTTACCAGGGCTGATCCTTTCACTGATGGAGGCTTAATAACCTCCTAAGAAAAACCATGGTGGTCCAGAACAGCTTGGAAACCAGTGCTCTAAAGCCTGACTCCACAACAGCTATGAGCCACTCTACTGATGTATCTAGCTCAGCCTTGTGTATGGACTGGCAGCAGCTGTATGGAGGTTTCAAAGACACAGGATTTCCCCAGCTTCACCTGGACAGACCAGAGACAGAAGAACCTGGGACTCTGGGCATGCAAAGTCAGATACCACCGCTGACCTAAAGCCCTTACCCAGTTCCTCCACGTCCCAACTGCAGGAAAATCCAAGACTGCCACAGAGTTCTTCTAAAGAGGTTCATCTTTAGAGGTTCATCTGTAGAAGTCCAAATCTCCAGGTATTTAGGGCCTTGTCACCCAGCCTCCCTGAGCAGTGCCTATGCTGGCAGGCAAAGCCATCTGGAGATCTACCTTCTGCTTGCCCCTGGCTTTTTGCCCACATTGCTGGGATGGCTCCTGCCTCCCATATCCTCTCCACCATGGCCTCCTCTGTGTCAGGCAGCAACAGGAGCATGGCCTGCTACCTGCCATCTGCACATCCCCTTGCCAGTGGAGGTTGGAGATGCCCCACGGCAGGCTGCAGCCACTTTCACACTCGGAGAAGTTGGCACTGAGCAGGGAGGGAGGAAGAAGGTTCAACCCTCTTCTCCCAAGTTTAATTCCTGCCTTCTCCTGTTTTAAAAGCAACAGGGGAAGCAGGGCTGGGAAAGACCAGTAAATGTGAACATTGCACTGCCTTGCAACAGTGACTCATGCGCTGGTGACTTCCCGTCTTGACTTCTGTAACGCGCTCTACGTGGGGCTACCCTTGAAGACGGTCCGGATACTTCAATTGGTTCAGAATAGAGCTGCCAGGCTGCTGACGGGGACTGGACATTATGTTCACATGACTCCAGTTCTCCGTCAGCTTCACTGGCTCCCCATTGAAGTCCGGGCCCAATTCAAGGTGTTGGTAATGACCTATAAAGCCCTAAACGGCTTGGGTCCTGGTTACCTGAAGGAGCGCTTACATCCATATATGCCCAGTCGCCCCCTGAGATCAGCGGGAGAGGCCCTTCTCTGGGAGCCCTCCGTGAGAGAAATTAGGAGGGTGGCTACTTGGAGGAGGGCTTTCTCAGCGGTGGCGCCTAAGTTATGGAATGCGCTCCCCAGAGAGGTCCGCCTGGCGCCGTCGTTATTTGTTTTTCGGCGCCAGGCAAAGACCTTTTTATTTAAGCAACATTTTAAATGTTAATACTACTGAATTTTATCTGGCCAGGGAGGCTTATTTTATATTGTGTGTTTTAATTATTATGATTATTTTATATGTATATTTTAACTTACTGGTTTTATTTATTGTTGTAAGCCGCCCCGAGGCTTCAGCAAATGGGGTGGCATAAAAATGTTTTAATAAATAAATAATAAATAAATAAAAGCAGTGCCAGTCTTCAAAACCAAGGGTGCTCCAGGGGCACTGGACTGGCACTCCCATCAACTCCTATGCCAACATGGCTGCTGCAGACCAACACATCTACAGGGCAACCAGTTGGGGAACACAGGAGTGGACTATGCTGTTTCGGCAAGACCAAGAAAGAAATCTCAGGCTTGTGGCTGGCAGTTCGACAGAAAGGTTGCCCCTGTGGGCAAAATAAAGAAAGGAACTGAAAATAAACCTTCCAAGACCATACGGCTATATAGTGGGACCATACTTGGAATACTGCATGCAATTCTGGTGGCCAGCCCTAAAAAAGGACATTGCAGAATTGGAAAAGGTGCAGAAAAGGGCAACTAAAATGGTCAAGTGAATGGAACAACTCCTCCATGAGGAAAGGTTGCCACCTTTGCGGCTTTTTTAGCTTAAAAAGGCTAGTAATAGGAGACAGTATAGATGTATACAAAAATGTGCACAGTATGGAAAGAGTAGATGTGTAGACATGCCTCTCCCATTAATACTGGAGCCCCAGAAGGCCATTCCATGAAGCTGATTGGTGGGAGTGTCAGGAAGGGCTTCTTCACAGAGTGTAGAGTTAAGCTGTACGGTGATTCACTTCCACAAGATACCATAATGACCACAAATTTGGATAGCTTTAAAGGGATATTAGATCCATGGAGGATGAGGCTTTCAGTGACTACTAGTCCTGATGGCTCCAGTATCAGAGGCAGCTGCTGGGGAACAGGGGGAGGGTGCTGCTGCACTCTGTCCTGCTTGTGGCATCCTGTGGGCAGCCAATTGGTGACCATGTAAACAGAATGTTGGCGAGGTCTGATCCAGACAGGGACCTTATCTTCTGAATGATCAACAGCAGCTCCATGTGCTTCACTGAGGTGGGCCTTGTATCCCGAAGTGGCCAAAGCCAAGCACTCATCTTCTTGCTCATACGTGTGCTCACACACCTCTAGTGCAGCCTCCTGTCATCCCCCAGTTAGCACAGCCAGGTTGGGTGAGGCTGTTCTAATGCTAGAGGAGAACAGTCCAGTTAGCTTGCCAAGCTATCACTGGATTTTCTCTGGACACCTCACTAAGCCCTGCAACAATCCAGCTGAAATCTGACCCCGCCAACTGCTCTACCCTACCAGCTTCCTCCTCTGTACAAGCGGTAGTTCCAAAGCTAAAGGGCTATTGAACTATCCCCGAAAGTCCTCTCACATTCCAAGCCTGACCATGGAAAAAGATGAAGGAGACATCTGGGAGACAGAGATGGGACTGGATATTTTGTCTGAACCAGCAGGATTGCTCTTATGTTCTTAAAGTCTATTTTGATCTTGTCCCCGCCATTGCCACAACACCGAATGACAAATGAAATGTACCCAGCTACATACTTAACACATCCTTTGTTCAAAGAAAGATGGTGCTTATGGAGCTTGTTCCCATTCACAGCAGGGTCCAGGTGGGGGGAGTCTTTACAGATTTGATGTGAGCAGTTACTTGTCTAGGCGGAAAGGAAACTTTGGGTATCCAAGCCACATGTCAAAGACCCAGCTTCTGCCTCTTCATTATGACAATGCCAGTCAAGTAAGAAAATCAATCATTTGCGTCAGATACAAGAAAACCGTCACCCCTGCTATTGTCTATGCTCCTCACTTTGAAAACTACAGGGAAACTGCCCGCTCAGAACTATTCCCATTACCAGTCATATCAAAACATCTGAGTCTTGCCCGGGAACACAGGATATACTCCTGCGTGAATTCCATTCCTTTCAAGGGGACTTGCACCGGAAAGTTTCCCATGGACTGTGCTTTTTCCTAATGACAACATACCAACTACCTGTGATAACCAGAGGCAAATTCCAACACAAAACCCAACGAAGAAACAGAAGTCATAAGAAAAAAGGGCTCTCCCTTCTCCAAGATAAGCAGGAAATAAAATGAAACAAAAAGATAAAGCAATGTTTATGCAGCTCTTTTTAGGAGGCTGTAAGACAGTTTTCCCAACCTGGCACCCTCTAGATTCCTCAGACTACAAGCTCCATCATTCTCAATCATCCCAGTCAATAGAGGACACCAGCCCTAACGACTGCCCTAAAAGATGGACAGGGATAAGCATAACTTCAAAATCTATATATTATAGTATCTTAAGCCAACTCAAAGATCACAAAAAATGGGTGGACAAGTCAGTGAGGGAGTGCTATACAGATATCCAGATAACCCTTCACTTCCCACTCCCTATTCCTCCCCCTCACCAACCTGCTATTTTTAACAACTTGCCTGATGAACAGATCTGGCAATCTCAAAAGTTTGCATATTTTTGTGGTCTTCCTTTTGGCCTAATAAAAGTGTCACATTCTGTGAATTTTGCATATGACCAACATAATTGACTTAGTTATACGACTTGGAGAATACTGAATTTAGGCATTTAACAGTGGAACCTGAACTTGGAGGAAGAGGATTTTATATCACTTAAACTTAGATTTGATTCTTTGAGGGATTATCGCATCCAGCTACTGCCTACTTGAATTCTGCTTTTGTTTTCCACCCACCAAGGAATCTGTCGCATTCATGCAGGTTGGAGACCATTTCAAGTTAACAACAGGAAGGTCCAAGAGCTGCCAGCAACCTTCCCATTCCCAGCAGTCCTGAGGGCGCTGAAACCAGAAACGATCACACCTGGCAGACCCTAATTTGATAGTCTGCAAACCCTCCTCTTCCATTCCACCTTAGGACTCTGATCATGAACTGATTACAACACTCCGCTTACTTTCCCGCTCTTGTCCCCAGGTCCCCAAACCTCCAACCTGCTTTTGGTAGCAACATGTCTGCTGAAGAGGCCTAGAAATCTGACCGGTTCTTCCCTGCAGAGAAGGGCAGGATGCATTCCAAAGCAGCAAAGCTCAAGGAACCAAGCTTCAGGTTGGATGTCAGGAAGTACTTCCTGACAGTTGGGACCCCTAGGATATGGAATGGGCTTCCAAGGGAAGTGGCAGAGACCCCATCAGTGAGGGCATTCAAGGGAAGATTGGAGAACCACATGTTGGGCATTACATGGAGCTGGCCAGAGCTGGGGGTCAGACTAGACGGCCCAGGAGGCCACTTCTGACTCACTGTGTTTCTATATATTTCTGTGAACTTTGAGTTGGCCTAATAAAAATATTATGTAATACGGATTCCAGAATTTTTCTTAAGGCCAATGCAGGTGACTTTGGGATTGTTCATGATAAGGGGCAGAACTGGGGCTCATTTGCACACGCTATCTGTGCTAGAGAGAGTAACCTCATGATTTCCCAGTATCTGTCACAGTATGCCTGGAGCATGAAAAGAATGTATAATCCAAATACATCGCAAACCTGCAGAAAATAGGGCTTGGAGACAAAACCAAAGATGTCTGCAACATGTTAGCCCTGCAGCTAAGTGCTCATCTACCACACGACACCACAATCCTCATTTACTGACTCAATTCATTAGTCAGTTGAAAACACAACATTCCAACCTTTCCAAAGCAGATAAAAAATCAGTGGTGAAGGGTTGCTTCTAAAATAATTAGTTCTAATACTCAAACGTGGCTTCTTACTCTAATAGTTACCTGCTCCGTGTGGACTGCTATCAGTGATTAATTGCAGCTTAATTGCATCTTCAAAGAGGGACAGGCCACCTTTTTGAGTCATGGGCAGATCTAGTTATTTAACTGGGCAGGATTACAAAAAAGCTGCTATGGGGAAGTGTGGCAAAGGGCGAACAACTTGCCTAGAAGGCCTCAGCTCCAACACTTTAAACCCCTTTAAACCCACAGTTTTCAGCCTATTTCACAGCAATCCCAGCTACCAGTATGAAAAAAACCACTTTTAGAAAGTGTGAAAGGTAGGGCACCTTGACAAACACCAAGTAAGGTATCCAGAACTGCCCTGGTTTCTACAATGACCTTACTGTGTACCCTATCTAAGAAGTGGTTGTCCTCAATTTCAAAAGAGTGTTTTCATCACTGTGGACTTCTGTCCCAAACAAAATGCCCATGCCTCATTTGGAATAACTACAAGGGCAGTGATACAGCTACTCTGGAAAGAGCCTTCAGAACCCTTGGGAATGACTCCAGGGTAAATTTTACTCTTAACCTCTCTCATTTCTTCTGCTTGCTGTTGCCTGAGCTTCTCTAACTCGCCAGCAGCAGAACGTAACTCTTCTTGACCGCGTAGGAACAAGCTCCACACATAGCAGAGCTGATCATCTGCAGAAGCTGTTGTGTCGACCCCTTCTTGCTGGAGCTGCTGCCTTATGTCTTCTGCATGCACCTGCTCCTGCAGAAGGAAGAAGGGGGTTTCTTTCAATATTTTATCCAGATTCTACTGTAAAAGAACAAAACAAGTTCCATCTAGTCCAGGCTGGAAGAAGAAAGACATGAATCTATTAATGCAGGGGTTTCCAATTCCCCCCTTTTAATATACATGTATGTATTTATATGATATACATATAGATAATATACATAGCCTCCAATCACAGCAGTCCAAATATCCAGATAAGTATCCATTTAAAGTTGGCATCTGCATGCCACCCAATCATATACTGAAAACACTGTAGGGTCCTTGATCCACTGCCAGTTTACAGTATCTGCGCTACAGCTATCCAAGGAATCCATCTGCCTTTCTATTTGTTAATCCATGAGGCAGGTTAATAATGTAAGGGAGGGTAGACGTCAGTGAATATTAAAGACTGTTCCAGTACAAAGTTTATCCATAAAATAGCCTCCTCTCAAAAGAAGCAACTACTGGGCATTTGTCAAAACATAGTTTTAAATTTAGCATTGCATTGTCAGACTATGCTGTGTCCAACAAACACAAAACAAATATTGTTGCTGAATATAGAGCAGCCTACAATTCATACATGCAATGAGTAGATATCAAATCCACTAATTAGTCATTTTCTGGTGGTATTCAGTTTTTCAAATTCCCAAATGTGCTCATACATCCAAAAAGGTTGGAGACCCCATACTAGTAGATCTCTGGATTATCTGCAGTACATTAGTAAGGATTTATGGCTCCCAATTAACACACCCTGGAATTTGGTTCAAGTATTGTCATTTGGAGAAAGCCAGTGTGGTATAGAGGTTAAGAGCATGGGACTGGGACTCAGGTGATCCAGGTTCTAGTCCCCACTCAGCCATGGAGTCTACTGGGTGACTTTGCACCAGTCACAGATGTTCAACCCAAACTATCACACAAGGTTGTTGTTGTGGGAATAAGATTGAAAGGAGAAAAAATGTAAGCTACTTTCATTTCTTTGAAAGTAAAATGCAGAATATAAATCTAATAAATACATGAATTTTAGGTGATTCTGAACCCCACTCTGAAAATCCTGGCAGAAGGTTTACAAGTAGGTTCATTCCTAGTTATGCTTAGAAAGAAGGAAATCTTACCAGAAGCTTTCAGAGCCCATGTGGTATGGTTTCAATGCTGGACTGGGGAACCTGAGTGCTCCGGGTTCTAGTCGCTGCTCAGCTATGAAGCTCACTGGGAAACTTCAGACAAGTCACAGACTCTCAGACCAACATGCCCCAAAGGGTTGTTGTGAGGTAAAATGGAACTATGTGAGCTGCCTTGGGCTCGTCACAAGAGCAAACAATATGGGACATAAATGCAATGTTGTAGTAACAACCACTACCATCTGCAGGCTACAGCACCCCCTGCTCCTGCTATAGAACACTAGATAGTAACAGAAGACAAGTTTTTCCATTTCTATCAGCCACAGTAGGTCAAATATATATCCTTGTAAGCTGATTACTGGCTGCAGCTTCCATGTCCAACTAATACATTTCCTGGAGCCACTGGGGCAGCCAAACAAAAGCCACCGGATGGAGTATTTGGGCTGATCCAGCTGGGCGTCCCTTATCATCCAGAACAAAATAAGGGTATTTACTTACAAAGCAATTCTATGCAAGGTTCAACAGAAAGAAGACCTATAACTCGTAGCATGCCCCCACCAGCCATTTTTCCATCTAAGTTTGCACAGGATTACACCCTTATTTATCATATTTCTTTGCCATCTTTCAGGCCAGGGGCCCTCCTGAAGCATCATGTCATAATGACATGCGTAGCAAAAGCAGCGTTGTATGGCAGTTTGAATGTTCTGTTGGGCAAGGACTCAGGAGATCAAGCTTCTAGCCACTCAGCTGACCGGGTAATTTGCAGCCAGGTACTAAGTCTCAATCTAACCAACCTCACACATAGTTGTTGTGAGGATAAAACTGAGTGAAGGAGAAGGGCCACGTAAGTCACTTTAGTGTACTTGCAAGAGAAAAAAAGTGGGATATAAACAAAATAAAACCCAACATGATCTTCAAAGGCCACAAAAACACAGGAAAAAACTGCATTAAAAATTGTAACACTCGTGAATAAATCAATGGTGCGCAGGTCTCGCCATGGCAGCTCAGCAGAACAACACTCGATTTTCTCTCTTCTAGTTAGATTTTTATCTTGTTTGGGGAAAATTCACAATAAAAAGCACCCGTCTGGTGTGGGAGTTAGTGTTGGTCCCGGGACCAAGGAGACCCGGGTTCTATTCCCACTCAGTCATGAAGCTCCCGGGTGATTTTGGGCCAGTTAAAGACTCTCAGACCAACTTACCCAAAAAAGCTGTCGTGAGAATCTGAGAAGAGGGGCAAACCAGTGTGGCACGGTGGTTAAGATGTTGGACTGGGAGAGTTGGGAGACCTGGGTTCTAGTCCCTGCCCAGTTATGAAGCTCCCTGGGTAGGTGACTTGGAGCCAGTCACAGAACCTCGGCCTGACCCACCTCACAGGGTTGTTGTTGTGAGGAGGAAAATGGAGGGGAGAACTTTGTCTACTGCCTTGGGTTCTGTGCTAGAGGAAAAAAGTGGGCTATAGTGGTATGAGTACTTGTTACCTTTAAATTCATTCCCGCCCCGCCCCACAGCGGACGCTTTCCGGGCAGTCTGCAGCCACAGAAACGGGGCGATGGTGACGCTGCCGCGCGCAGGAGTCGGAAGCCAGAGCCCCGCGGCGGGGGGCAGCCCACCTGGCAAGAGCGGCCGCCACGGGGCGCACTCCGCGCACCCTCGCCTGCTCCGGCAAGGCGCCTGTCCTCATGGCGCGCGGCGCGGCCCCTCTGCCCCCTTCGCGGGGAGAGCGCGCCCTGCAGCCCGGGGCCCCTTTCCGCGTCCTCCCTGCGCCACGCACTTACCGGTCGGGCGCCCTCCATGCGGGCGGCGCGGAGGACGCGAGCCCGGCGCCAGGCCGCGGAAACCATGGTAACGCGGCCTACCCAGCAGCCCCGCGCCCGCCGCCCGTAGCCATGGCAACGCGCCCCTCGCCTGGGCCCCCGCGTCCGCCTCAAAAGTTGGTGCGCGCCAAGAAGGGGGGGGGGACTTTAGGCCTTTGCAAGTCGAAATTGTACACTATATTTTAATTATTTAAAGAACCGGGGGGGCGCATAAGGCTGCTCCCCCCCCCGTATACAGGCCTGCCCAGGGACATGTTTGCTCGAGAGTAAGCCTCACCCTTTCCGAAGGGGCTGCCCCACTGCCAAAGAGAAAGGGGGGCGCAGGGGCGAAAGTGTTGGGGGCAGGTTTCTCCCGGGAAAGTTTGCAGCTGCTCTGAGGAGTGACAGGCCAGGCCAAGAGACGCTGCGCATGTTTAGGCAGGGAAGAAAGCCCTGCAGTTCTCAGCACGCTCTGTTCAGCCATACCAGACTTCTGCAGGCCTTTTTTCCTGTCCGGACGGGCAGAGGATCACACGTTTGGGAAGTAAAAACACACAGAAGTGGCTCTGTTGTGTAAGGCCTCAGTCCTATGCATGCTTTACTGGTGGGCAATTCCATTGATGGACCATTTTATTCTCAGCATGAGCAAGATTGTTCCACTCTTCCCTGCACCCTTACTCGGGAGTAAGCTTTACCGAGTACAGCAGAGCATACTTCAGCATAAATAAACCATTCCCAGGGCACCACCATTTTGTGCTAGCTAACTTATAGGCCGGTCTCATTGTTTTCCATTGGTCTTACTCCCAAGTGAGCAGAGTGATTGCTGCAGGAACACCACTCTGTGTGCTTAACTGGGAGTAAGCCCTGCTGGATGCACTGAGCCTTACTTATCTGGAGAACTTATTTGGAAGCCTTGCTTCCCAGTGAGCATTGCAGTGCACTGGAAATTGTGTATTTGCTCAGAAGTAAACTCTACTGTAGTCATTAATGCGTACCCCCAAAAGCAAGCATACAGGGAACTGCAATTGTGCAGTACAATCATGGCCACATTTATCACCTTCTGGTGCTGCCTGAAATCGTAACAACAGGCCATAGAGTTACTTCAAAGTTACGTATACAGACAGTCTGAAGTACTGCAGTAATTATGATCCGTACCTATCAGTGATGACAGTGGGATATGGATACAATTTTGGGAAATTCTGGGGACAGGGGTATGAATTCTGGTTTACTATGAACAGATTCTATGTTTCTTCTCACAGCCATTCCCTGGCTTGTTCTGCTGCCGCTGCCTTATGCAGGATTACCACTGCACAAAAACTGGACCCCAGATAAATACATCAGGACTTCCAGGTGTTCTAAAAGGGGTTTTTTTTTTTAATTCCTCCATCCATGTTGTTCAAAAGCACTTAAAGCAAATGTTAACACCTCTAAAGCATTATATCCATTTTGGAGACACAGGCATTCAGTACATTAATAAAAAGGAGAGTATTGGGATGAGGAGAACTGGATTATGGCTACAAACCTGTATGCGCTTACGCAGAATTATCCCTGAATGTAACAGGATTCACTTGATTAGACAGTGTGTTTGGCAACTGAGACCTGATTAACACATGCAGCAAAATGAGATGGCAAAAAATATAGCAGTTCAGGGAGGAAGACTGCATGTCTGAATGCTCCCCTCCATATGTGATGCAGCTTTGCTCCTAGACTAGAGTTCTGCTCCCACCGCTTTGAGGAATTCCTAAAGCACTGAGGCACAGGGAAGGCTTTGATTCTGTTGATGGGCATTTCACTGGGCATTCTTCCCTCTTGCCAGAAGAGGAACAGAAATGGGTGAACACCCAAGCGAGTATCATGTGGGTCCTATCAGTGGGCTTAGACTCCCAATGGAATGACAAAGCACAACATGTGTATGCTGAAAGAGTATAAAAGGATTGCTCTACCCCAGGCACCTCTAAGTTGAGATGCTTCAGGTCTATTTGCAACTTACTACTGCAGAAGCTTCAGTGTTCCTTCATAAGGCATTTTGTAGGATAGCTGGTCCACAGATAATGAATTTCACTACTCTCATTTCACCCAACTTATCAGAATTGTGAGAAATACAGGCAACTTTGCGTTTTCCTGCTGCTTGCAATGTCCATTCCACATATCCAGGGCATATATGTACTTGCGTCTCATCAACTCCTAATGAGAAGCGACACATTTATTTCCTCAGTATAAAAGCATCCATAGCGGCCCTACTAGGTCAAGCCAAGGATTTCCACTAAGCTCACAGAGGCCACATTTGCTCACCAGGTGGAGCTGTTTCAGAATGAAGTAGTGCCATCTAGCTCTCAGCCAGCATGCACAAACACCCAATGTCCATAAGCCTCTCCTATCATAAAGCCCTCTGAACCCGGGACCACCACTGCACCTGGGCACAGCGAACTTCACACGTTTCCCCACATTCTTCACTCTTCCTCCCAGTCTGCTCTCAGGCACCCCTGCTCTGGAAACAACTTTAACCAAAGCTGTGCGAGTGCCCTCTCAGATTTGGAGCTCCCACCCAAAATGCTGCCACACTACCCACAAGTCCCCCCACTAAACTATCTTCAATGCATTTGTTCATATCCATGATATGTGACTCTCTTCCATTCTGTTCCCTTTAAAGTCATCATCTTCCTCTTACTGCTGTTGAAATTCGGCCTTTTGCCTTGTTGGGACCTCATGCTTATTTTAAACGTAGCACAGCTTTGCCAAGTGTCGTGCATAGTGATGGCAACACGGAAAGGCCGATAGTGTGTATCCCAGGTAGGAAATGAAGCCTCTCCCATTTGAGCTGCATGGGAAGCAAACTGGATCTAGCATAACACAGATGGCACAATGGTGAATTTCTGACTAGGAGAATGAGAAACTCTTCTTCTAACCCACAATATTAGGCTTTGAATTACTGGGAAGTTTCCTAATGGTAGTACAATATGTTGATGCATTTGAAACATGGTGCTGGAGAAGAGCTTTTCAAACAGTCTAGACTGACAGAAAGACAAACAAGGGGATCCTAGATCAAATCAAGCCAGAGCCTTCCCTAAAAGCAAAAATGAAAAACTGAGGCTGTCATACTTTAGACACATCACAAAAAGGTAAGACTCCCTGAAGAAGACAATCATGCAAGTTAAGGGCAAAAGAAAAAGAAAAAAGGGGGAAGAAAAGACTAAAAGAAGAGATGGCGTAACTCCAAAAAGGAAGTCACAGCCCTGAACCTGGAAGAGCCAGATGGAGCTGTCATGGACAGGACATTCTGGAAAACATCCATTCATAGGGTTGCCATTAAGTCAGAGACGACCTGATGGCACAAAACAACAAAGTATAATACAACTGAAGTGGCTTGGCAGCAAGCCTGTGTCTAACCTTGCATGCAATGAAACCGCTCTCTGAATATTCCTTTTGAAATACACCAGAACTCCAGAGAATCCCGTCTTATACCTCATGAGCCACTAACCCACTAACCAATCACTCCAATTTTCCTCCTCCCACCATCAGAAATAGCTTCGCCCGCCAATTACTAAGCAAAATACAGCCAAGCATTACATCTAAACCGAACTGCTGGGTTGTTCCCCCAAACCAGGATTAATTAGCCAACTTCAAATACTGGCTTGTTAGGGAAGTTAACAGTGCAAGAATCCCTGTTTGGATACAACACTTAAGCTTGTCTGGAGTCATTCCCTTTGGCAGGAAGCAATCAGGCAGCATGTATCAAGATATTTGCTGAAGAACAATAAGCAAGGATTCTCCCAACTTCTGGCTTTTGTACAAAAGGAGCCATTCCACACAAGGGTGTCATTTCACTAGGCCTTCACATCGAACAACATTCCACTGTCTCTTCATGCAACAGTGACCTTGGGAAGCCTTAACCAAAGTGTCATATCTGAGCGTACGACAGTAATCAAGACTGTAATTTGCCAGTGCGCCCAAACAAACTGGGATCCCATTCTCTGAGACAAGCCATGACTCTAGATTGTCTCTCTCATTTATATACATTTTATGGTCTCCAAACAGCAGCACACTCATGTGAAGGTGTGCAAAAAATAATCATACTGGGTCAAAATTTCATCTTTTTGATCCTATGTAAACTTGCCATTAAATACTCTATGTACCAGTGATAAAGAAGTATTCCAGTTCCACCCACCACCACCACCACCTCTTAACCATTCTTTAAAGTCTGTTGAGCTGTGAAGATCCAAAGAAGTCATTTTTGCTCACTGGCAGTTATTTCTCCATAAAAGCCCTGTGCTGTAGCTCAAGATGGTTCACAATCTTCTCCTCGATTTCCATGCCTCCAGCTACCTCATCATCAGAAAGCGACAACCGAGTCTCCAGATCCCTAGTTACCACAATCACAGAGGTTCTTCTGGAGTCCAGCACATTGGCTACCACAACCTGATGGCGATATTTCTCCAAGGCCTGCCGCGCTTTGTCAATCAGGATGGAAGGATTCGTTTCTAACTTGAAAGAGATGACAAATGCCTCAGGGGCCCATTCTTTGACCAGAGGAGAGAGCATTTTTGGTACCATCTTCATTGTGATCTGCATCAAGAAGGAAACCAAGTTCAACAGAAGGCACAAACGTTTGCAAGACTAAACACGGAGTTAACACACACATGGCACACGGCATCCTGGCTTAGGTCCTTTAATCGCTCCTCAGCTCTAACTGGTTGATGCCTTTTCACAACTCCTTATTCTGCCCCTAATGCCACATGATAACCTAGCCCAAGCACATTTGAAACTGAAATATATGAATCTCTCTCTCCGCCCCACACATTTATCTCACTTCCCTTTCCTTGTCCTCTTACAGCTCATTGTAAAATGTAAGCTGCTTGGGGCAGGGACTTATCCTTTCATTTGAGGATCCAGTGGGGGTGTTTAATGATAAAGAGCAGTGCACAAATGCTTGCTGTTCTCACAGATTTCTGTGGCAGTGTCTGGCTTTAAAAAATGTATTTTCCTGCCTAGCTTTCTGGAAATCTCTCACAACTCACCAGAGAGGAATTGGGAAGTGGTCTGTAATTGGGCATGTGCTCATTCACACACTGCATGCTATTTTAACAACATTTCTAGCTCTACACCAAGCAAAGACTATGGGTGGCTTTTTGAGCAGGTCATCAGCTCTCACTTAATTATTAAGAATTATGTGCCTCTTCAGAGGCTGAAAGGGAAGTCAAGGAGCTTGGATGAAAGCATGTTTGCAGAATAAGTAAGTCTTTAAGGTGTGCTTGCTTTACAGAGGTTGGGAATCTTCCTCAGCCCTCTCTGGGCCACACAGCAATTCCTCCACTGTACACAGGGTCAAGCTTGCTTGCTTGCCTGAGCCTCTGCACAAAGAGCAGGATGCGTACAGCACGGCGGTTGCTGCTTCTGCCTCTTCCTGGAGCCATCTCCTGCTCTTCTCCTGCCCAGACTTTTAAATTCCCATAGTTTATGCACAGTTCTGCCAACTGAGCTACTCCTCCTCCCTAACAGGGTACTCAGCTGCACAGCACATAGCATGTCCCTTGTTACTGTGGCACAACTCCAGATTCCAGTCATAACTGGGATGAAGCCAGTCACAGAGCAATGTAAAGAAGATGACAGACTCTCTTGTAGAGGCTCCATGAAAAGCTGGAGCAAAACCTCCCTTTAATCCAGGATTTGAGAGTTCTGTTACAGGCCTCCCAAAGGACAAGTCCTCCAGCCGTACCTGGAGGGGTCCATCAGTAGACTGGATCTTATGTTCGGGCATCTCGGAAGCAGGGATGTAGAAATCAGACACAGCTGCCGCTAAGTAGAACATGGCACTGGAACCTGGTAGAAGTTGAGAAAGTGAAAGGTGTGAATGGGTGTCACTGGATGGAGAAACATTAATATCCAGATCTTCACAATAAATCCCTCCATCTGGAAATGCAGATAAAGTTTCCTTGTTGCCTTCTTTGCCAGATTAGATTTCTTCAGCCTGCTCAAATCTGTTTTAAGTCATCTTTACACACTCTGGATTCTAGACAAACCAACTGGTATGACTTTCTTAGTGCATTTTACTCCCATACTGTCAAATGAAGTAAACATGAGAAGTGCAGACTCCTCTTTAAAGCAAAATGTATATACCAGGTTATTGATGTGAAAATTGGCAGCATGCTCTGCTCCTCTCATTTCTGGAACATCCCTCTTCCCCCCTATCCTAAACATAAGAGCAAAACTGGATTAGACCACGGGTTCAGCATTTTGTTCAAACAGAAGTCAATCAGCCAAACCTACAAGCAGGGCATGATTACAAAAGCACCCATAAACCCAAGTTCCTGAGCAACGTATGTACATAGGTGATGGCGGTGGTGAGAAGTGCCTTCCTTCAGCTTCGGTTGATCCATCTCAATCCTACCTGGATGAGAGTTGCCTAGCAACACATGCACTGGTAACCTCCCAACTGGACTAATGTAATGCACTCTATGTGGGGCTGCCCTTGAAGACAGTCCGGATACTTCAGATGGTGCAAAACAGAGCTGCCAGGATGCTGTTGGGGACCAGTAGTTACTCTCACATAACTCCGGTCCTCTATCAGCTCCATTGGCTTCCCACTGAAATCTGGGGCCAATTTAAGGTGCTGGTTATTATTTCAGTTGTGATATATCTAATTTATTATTGTTTAGGATACAGATGCTATTCTTTACTGTTGTATTTATAGATTGTTGTGAGCCATCCAGAGATGGAAGTGATTGGACGGCCTAGAATAATCCTAAATAAATAGGTATGCTGCCTCTGATACAGGAAGTAGGATATTGCCATCAGCACTAGTAGTCACTAACATCCCTATCCAATTTGGCCAATATTCTTTTAAAGCCATCCAAACTGATGGGCACCACAACAACTTATGGAAATGAATTCTACAGATTAACTCTGGGCTCTGTACCTTTCCTTAGATTTGTCCTGAATCTCCCACCACTGGGATTCCTGGGATAACCCGTCTGGGTTCTAATACCTTGGAAGGGGGGAAAATGACTCTTTCACCATTTCCTCTATGCTAGATACAATTTTGTACATTCTCTATGTCTCTCTTTACTTGCCTTGTATCTAAACAGCTCCGGGCAATGTAACTTTTCCTACAGTCAAGAGGGGAGGGGCTAGTTAGGAGATGATGGGCGAGTACCCCAACACGTCCGGGTGGGAGAAGCTGCCCGGCAGGATACGGCTGCAACGCACACTAACTTCACAGTAAGCTCAAGTCAGTGATACGAATTCGGCAGGCCTCGCTCCCAAACAAAGGAGGGCAAGCTGTGGCCGACAACCCCGGGGAGGGGAGAAAGCGGGAGGGGGGCAAGGCCGCCTGGGAAGCCCTACCGAGCGGCGCGAGGGCGCGGGAGGCGGCGCGCAGCAGCGCCAGGTACTCGGCGAGGCTGGTGAACTCGAGCGCCAGGAGCGCATCCTCCTCCCTGGCGCGCCGGTAAGCCTGCAGCGCGGGCACGAGCCCCGGGAGCGCGCCCACGGCAACGTGCACGCCGCGCCCCCGGTCGCCGTCGTCGTGCACGCGCAGCGCGTCCAGCAGGGCGGGGCCGTGAGGCGGCAGGGCGCGCGCCCAGGGGAAGGCGGAGCGCGCGCGGTGCAGGAAGCAGACGCTGTAGCCGGCGCGCACCAGCCGCTCGGCCGAGGCCGCCCCGCGCCGCCCGCTGCTGAAGTTCTCCAGGAAGCGCACCGCCCGCGCCTCCAGCGGCACCTGCGTCCCGCCCGACGTCACCAGCGCCACGCGCCGGCCCCGCGCCTGCTGCGCCGCAGCCCAAACCCTGACGCGCCGCGCCGCCTCGACCTCCGACGGAGTCTCCGCCGGCGCCTCCGCGGCCATCGTCTCCGCCGGCGCCGCCGCTTCCGCTTCCGGGAAGGGCGCCGCCGCTTTTCGATTGGGCGTCACGCTGCCTAGCAACCGCCTATCGCCGCCTCTCGCAGCCCCGGAAGTCTCGCCCTGCAGAGAGGAAGCACGCCACGCAGTCGTAAACTCACCTTGGAGGGCGTGCCGTGAAAGTCAGCACCACGGAGAAGAGGACGGGCAGAGCGACGCCACTCGGCTCCGGGGCCCAAAGGGGGCTTTTCCGGTCGCTCTAGCGCGCTCCGTCACCTCCCCTGTGAACGTCGCTTCACTCCGGGTTGGAGCGGCCTCTTTCCGGCAACGCAGCGGAAGTCCCGCCCTCGCCCCCCCCGCTACCGTGGCAACGGCGCCCCTAGCAACCGTGCGGGACGAAGTGGCGACCATGCGGACGGAGCGGCTCGTGCCGCTTGCGCTGCCCCGCGGGCAGAAGCTGCACTGCGAGCTGTGCCTCGGGCCGGCCACGCTGCGCTGCGGCGGCTGCGGAGTCACCTACTACTGGTGAGCAGGCCACCGTTCGCCTGGCGAAGAGGCCGCGGGGGGATCGGGCCCGGGCGCGAAGCGGGCCGTGCGGGCGTGCGCGAAAGGCGGCCCGCGGGCGCTCAGCAGGGCCGTGCCGCTGGGCCTGAGGCTAACGCCGCTTTTTACAGTGAGAGCTGCACCTATAGTTCGCATAAGTGTCAGATCTATTAGGAAGAGAAGAGGAAGAAATTGAAAGGCTGCATACATATGTGAAAGAATTTGATCTTGAGTATACTAAAATTGGACTTGCCAGCTGGCCAAGACTTGTGCCTTGCTGTCTGCGGCGAAAACAATGTATACTGCGTTTTGTCCAGTCTCGTGTTTAAGGGTTCAGCACTAGGTTTAGAATGGAAAAAGTCTTACACACCCAGCATTCCCTAGTTAGTCATTCGTCAGAGTCGGCTGCTCCAGGGCTCTATCTGGTGCCTCAGACCAGAATAACCACCACACAACGTGTGCAGGATTCAGCCCAGGCCCTGCTGGAACTCAGCCTCATGACGAATGCCAGCTGGGAGACCCGAAGAGAAGAGCTGTCTAAGAGCACACTCTTTCCTTCACTGGCTACCTCAGCAATGCAGGTCTTCTTGAGAAATGTGGTTAAGTTCCTGTATCTTGCCTGAGCCTGCTGCATCCATTTCCTGCCTTGTCTTGCCATGGCCTGCCTTGCTGTCTTGCTCTAGTATCGCAGATGTGCCTGCATCTTGCCTCATCCTTGCTATCTCTGGTTTCTGCCTTGCCATGTATTACCTTGCAGTAGCAATGCAGGTCTTCCTACTAGCTGCAGCACATTGCAACTCCTCTATTTTGCAGCATACTGCCTTGCTGCATCCCTCCTCACCTCAGCAACACAGGTCTCCTGCTTGCTGTCACATGTTCCAGTGCCTGCATCTTGCCTGACCTTCACTCAATCAAATCTTTGCTTTGCCTTATCCTGCTTTGCCTTGCTGCCTTGCCTTGCTTTGC